TTTTTAGAGAGATTTAGCAAAAAGAGAAACCACTTCTGGGGTCATTTGGTGGATTTTCCATATCTCTGGCCCCCCTTGCTCGATGTTGATGGTTGACACCTCTTTCTGGACCGTTAGAGCCAATAGAATCGAAGGGGGGGTCCCCCCACACACACTCATTGTGAAACGAAAAGGGTGGGGGCTTTGCGCATGTAATTTTGCATTAGAGTGAAGCTACAGTCTAGCTCTGACATCTAGAAACGTAAAAGCATGGATTATCCGTCTGTTTGCTCATGGATTATCAGAAATCATTTCAAAGGGACACAGACACATTGGATTAACTTCAGCAGCGTTTTTATCATTTTAATGCCATTGAAGACCACTTTGGAGAAACTACAGAGCCAAGGTAAAAATGTTAGCATTTTTAGCTACCTAGCGTCACCTGTTTTGATGTCAGTTTTTGTTTATAACGTCGCAAATTCGTATAATTCAGTGATAATGAGGGTACCCATCAATTCTGTGTCACCTCACGATGTGAATCGATGTCATGGATGTGGAGAAGAGATAAATAAGGTTTAGTGAGTGATTTTCGGTGCAGTAATCTGTTAGCATTTTTCGCTCGTTGCTAATTCAGAGGCTCAGTGTTAGCATTGTGGGTTAAGGGTTTGCGTGGAAAGAGAAAAAGGGTGATTTGGCTCAGATCCTTTTTATTGACCGTATGGTTCTACTTTGTTTATTGTTTGTTTATTTTCTCTATTGAACATCTTGAAACTTAACCTCAGTACGGACTGCTTATTGGGAACGAGTCACAACGATGATCCAAGTTTAGCCTCTGAAGCGACATCATCCATAGGAAGTTTTTTTGCTTCAACCCTATATACACTTCAGATATTTAAAAAAGGTCCCCTATTATACTCTTTTTCAAAAATATATTCTAGGTCTCAGATATACATACTCCAATGAACCACTTTGTGAACTACTGCGTGAACAAATAGTCCAACAGTTTAAGAACAATGTTTCTCAACATACAATTGCAAGGAATTTAGGGATGTCATCATCTACAGTCCATAATCAGGGTTCTTACACCTTTTCCAAAGTCAAATTCAAGCACTTTTCAAGCATTTTCAAGGTGCATTTTCAAGCTTTTCAAGCATCTTACAGCTGTTGTAAATTACATATTTATATACACATACTTATACTCAAATTATTATTTCCCTACCTCACATTAAATCAGATGTTCTTTATGCTATAAACAACCAAATGTGTGTTTCATAATAGATGAGGATGAAAAATTAAAAATGTTAGAAAAGAAAACTAAGTTTAATATTTCAAAATGTGGTGACCCATCTGTACGTAGACTGTGCATCCCATATAACCTGGCTGAGCCAATATAAAACAATCAGCCCAAATAACTTTTCAATATATTATTGATTACTATTTTTGAGGTACTTTTAGGTTGGCAGTAAACACAAGTCAGAGGTAAATTGTGTACTTTGACTCCACTACATGTATTAATAACCTTAGTTACTTTAGCAGATGTGGATGAATGATGTGAAATATAATCAAAGTGTTAAATCAGACTTTAGTTCCACCTGGAGTAAATTCACAAGCTACTCTGTAGTATACAAAGTCATTCAAACTAGCTGCACTTTACCAGCTTTGATAACACTTTCAATGATCAATCATATAAAACATATACAATTATTAGGGATGCTCCGATCGCCAATTTTGGGGCGATCGCCCGGAATCAGTATCGGGCCGATACCGCTCTCTTTTCCTCTCTCTCTCTCTCCTGACAGCCCGTCAGTATCTCCTGCAGCTCACTGATCCAGTAATGAGCGACCCGACAGTGAAGAATAAATATATTTATAACTAGTTTAGCTTGTTCCAGAGGTAGATAAAATAGCTAAGTGTGTTAGGTCTAACTCTTAATGTGTGTTCTGCTCCGCTCACCGGTCCGTCACAGCGGGTGGAGCTGCAGTATTTCTGCTTCACACACACGTTGCATACCGCTATTTTATTGTCATTTTCGGACACTTAAAATACTGCCAGACTAGTGAAGCCATTTTGGCGAGCTTGTTTTGCCGCGCACAGAGAAAAGTGTCATGTATTTTACATGCAACGATAGCCTAATCTAAAATGCTCTACTCTGGCGTACCTTTCGTGTGGTGTGTGGCGTCAGCGCAGACTCTCGCATCGTTATTGTTGCACACTTTGCAGGAGGCTACTCTTGGGCTTCGCTTGACCCTCGTCTTAGCCATGGCTTGTATTTGTCTTCTGCTAGCCAACGCTCGTTGAAACGCCAACCTCCTGGCATACTGTCATCTATCACTCTCATCAGAATGCCCAGGTCACACACTTAACAAAAACACTTGCCGGTCACGCGCATTGCGCTGGAAGGCCGGAGCGGAGCTGTTTTATGTAAAAGCGAAGCAATTAAGCGCGCTCAGACTTCTTTATTTTCTTTTAATCTAAAAAGCGAAGTAAAGCATTTACAATTTCAAGCACTTTATCCCAAATTCAAGCACCATTCCCAAAATGTAAGCACTTTTCAAACCTTGAAAACACCTCGTACAATTTCAAGCATTTTCAAGGATTTCCAGCACCCGTACGCACCCTGCATAATGTCATCAAAAGATTCAGAGAATCCAAGAATAGTAAATAATTCCACCTACAAAGCTTCAACAAATAGTGTCCTCAGTTCCCAAACGCTTATTGAGTGTTGTTAAGATGATGAATCATAATGGGTAACACATGGCTGTGTCCCCCGCTTTTTTTGCTACGTGTTTACAGGCATCAAATAAAAAATGAGCGACATATTTACCAAAAAAACATAAAGTTGATCAGTTTTGAACATTACATATATTGTCTTTGACGTGTATTCAATTGAATATACTGTAGGTTGAAAAGGATTTGCAAATCATTGTATTCAGTTTTTATTTACACAATGTCCCAACTTCATTGGAATTGGGGTTTGTATACTAAACATAGTGTTTGGCCTCGAAATACCAAACCGTCATGCATTGTAGCATGCCATACAACCGTCCTGTTAAAAAGAACACAATGGTGCTCTCGGAGGAGATTCAGGTGATACCTTGGTTGCTTATTGGCTAATGGTTGCACAACCCAAAAAACATTTGTGACATCACAAAGTGGCCGAAATCTGATCAGCTCATTTTCAGATTTTCAGAAACTTTACATTTATTATAAACAAGTATGAGTGTTAACAAACCTGCTGCGAGGTGTTAGCATTAACATTAAACGTTTTCTGATAAAGAACTTTATTTAAATAGATCTTCCAATAAGAATTTAAAGAATGTTTTAAAAATTATCATTTTATTTTATTTTGATGTCTATTATTTGGGGAATTTCTTTTTGTACTATTTTCTCTCATGTTTTCTTTCATATGTTGGCTCTGTAGATATAACTAAATGGAAATGAAAAAAAACTGTTGACTAAAATGTGAATATGTCTGTATAATGAGTCTGAAACTGAAATGAAAACTAAGTAAAAAAAGAAGAAAAAGGTAATTCCCTCTATTATTGCAAATTATATCGCAACTGCAATATCAGTCAACAATAATTGCAATTAGTTATTTCCAAATTGTGCAGCCCTATTCTAAACCTGTTTATTTACAGTGACAGGGACATTAACCTTCCCATAATTCTTGGCAAGAGAGTGAATATGCCTGGTTTCCAAAATGCGGAATATTCTGTTACAACTATGGGAGTTAATGAATGACACCTACCCTTTGTTGCAGCTGGGTCTCTTGTTCTCTTCTCTCAGCCTGCTCTCTCAGCTGAGAGTTCAGCTGTTCCTGCTCGCTCAGCTTCTCCTTGGTGCCTGAGACCTGGAATTGGTAGGGAACATAATTTAGCAGAACGAAAAAAGCGGACGGTTATAGGCATTATTAAGCAATCCTTTAAAGTTGTGCCCATGTACCAACTCCACCCAGTCCTCCAGCTCTGAGCTGCTGCATCTATGGTCTGTGGTTTACTTAAGTTTAATAGATTTTCAAGATTTGTTCTCCGACAAAAAACAAATAACATGAGATAAAATACAACAAAAATACAGTAGAAATACAATAAAATACCATAAAATGTAGGACTCAAGAAGATAAACATAGGGTAATCTGAAACTAGTTCTAAACACAGGCTTTATTAAACAGGAATGTCTTTAGAACCCTCTTAAAATGTTGGACACCCGCCTGCCTCCCTGATAAAAACAGGAAGTTGGTCCCAGAGAAAGGGAGCATTGCAGCTGAACGCTCCGACTCCTGATCTGGTTTTGCAGACTAAGGGCAGCACTAACAGACCTGCACTCTGGGAGCGTTATATTGTCTCAAATGTATTCACTTAAGTATTTAGCTGCACGAGTAGCCATTTTACTACTTTAGGTTCCCTTGTTTTTTAAGGTCTTTGGTTACCATAAGTTTGATGGATTTTCACAATTAGTTCTACGATATAAAACACATCAGTAAACACTCCACTGATGAATGTCCAAAGCTTCTATGTGTCATAAAAACCGCGGTTGCTAACAAGTGTCTAAATCAGTGGTCAGCAACCGGTCGATCGCGAGCGTGGTGCGGGTAGATCGCTCACCGTAAAAAAATGTAACAAAAGAAAGAAAAGTAAAGAAATAATGTTTTTTTTTCATCCACCACCCCGTTAGCAGGTGCCACTTGATTGACGTATCTTTGAGACATTCCCTGTCACCAACCTTTTTAAGCCCAAGATCCGAGGTCGGGGATCTTGGGCTTAAAAAGGTTGTTGACCACTGGTCTACATGAAACTACTACGTATGCGTCAGCACGCCAAACATTAGCCGTCTTTAGCTTAGCGGTGTTGTGGTGAAGAAATGCAACAGTATTGTAGTTTATAGCCCAACGTTAGCTTTTTACTTCGGGAGAGTACAAAATAATCCGGGGGCCCAGCAGGAATTTTCCCCAAGAAACTGGGCCTGATTATAGTGGGACTGGTCAGTATATACAAGAATCTCAAACTATAGTACTCAGTGTTTACCATCTCCATCCTGTCCTCCAGCTGGTCTCTGAGCTGCTGCTTCTCCTGCCTCAGTCCCTCCAGGGTCTCCTGCAGCTGGTGTCTCTCCTCACTGAGATACGTCACTCTGCTCTGCAGCTGGTCTCTGTCCTCACTGAGAGACGTCACTCTGCTCTGCAGCTTCTCCATCTCCTCTGTGGAGCTCTGACCGCTGCTTTCCTTCTCAGAGAGCATAGCGTCTCTCTCTGCTTCAATGCTCTCCAGTTTATCAGTTAGAGTCTTCTTCTGTGAGGAAGGAAGCAGATAATTTTAGTCTGAAAACCAGTTTTATAAAAGTATATTCTTGCTTTTCATAACAAAGTGATTATTGGACACCAACCTGTTGATCTAAAGAGCACAGTTTGTCCAGCTCAGAATTCATCTGCTGCTGCTCACACAGCTTCTCTTGGACGGTCTTCAGAAGCTCTTGTGTTGTGGAAGCCTTTGAAAAAATGTGTATCTTTAGAAACTTAAATGTGCATCTGTTATCAGGAGCAGAAAAATGACAAACTTTGCATGTTTTATAACTCAATCGACCAGTAAAGGCACAAATAAATCATCTAAACTTAACACAGCCAACTTCAGGGTTCTTACACCTTTTCCAAAGTCAAATTCAAGCACTTTTCAAGCATTTTCAAGGTGCATTTTCAAGCTTTTCAAGCATCTTACAGCTGTTGTAAATTACATATTGATATACACATACTTATACTCAAATGATTATTTCCCTACCTCACATTAAATCAGATGTTCTTTATGCTATAAACAACCAAATGTGTGTTTCATAATAGCATTCTACATGAGGATGAAAAATTAAAAATGTTAGAAAAGAAAACTAAGTTTAATATTTCAAAATGTGTGACCCATCTGTACGTAGACTGGGCATCCCATATAACCGGGCTGAGCCAATATAAAACAATCAGCCAAATAACTTTTCAATATATTATTTATTACTATTTTTGAGGTACTTTTAGGTTGGCAGTAAACACAAGTCAGAGGTAAATGGTGTACTTTGACTCCACTACATGTATTTAATACCTTTAGTTACTTTACAGATGTGGATGAATGATGTGAAATATAATCAAGTGTTAAATCAGACTTTAGTTCCACCTGGAGTAAATTCACAAGCTACTCTGTAGTATACAAAGTCATTCAAACTAGCTGCAACTTCACCAGCTTTGATAACACTTTCATGATCAATCATTATAAAACATATCATATACAATTATTAGGGATGCTCCGATCGCCAATTTTGGAGCCGATCGCCGGAATCAGTATCGGCCGATACCGATATCGCTCTCTTTTCCTCTCTCCCCCCCTCTCTCCCCCCTCTCTCTCCTCCCCCCTCTCTCCCCCTCTCTCTCTCTCTCCCCCTCTCTCTCTCTCCCCCTCTCTCTCTCCTGACAGCCCGTCAGTATCTCCTGCAGCTCACTGATCCAGTACAGTGACCCGACAGTGAAGAATAAATATATTTATAACTAGTTTAGCTTGTTCCAGGAGGTAGATAAAATAGCTAAGTGTGTTAGGTCTAACTCTTAATGTGTGTTCTGCTCCGCTCACCGGTCCGTCACAGCGGGTGGAGCTGCAGAATTTCTGCTTCACACACACGTTGCATACCGCTATTTTATTGTCATTTTCGGACACTTAAAATACTGCCAGACTAGTGAAGCCATTTTGGCGAGCTTGTTTTGCCGCGCACAGAGAAAAGTGTCATGTATTTTAGATGCAACGATAGCCTAATCTAAAATGTTCTACTGCAGCGTACGTTTTGTGTGGTGTGTGGCTCGTCAGCGCAGACTCTCGCATCGTTATTGTTGCACACTTTGCAGGAGGCTACTCTTGGGCTTCGCTTGACCCTCGTCTTAGCCATGGCTTGTATTTGTCTTCTGCTAGCCAACGCTCGTTGAAACGGCAACCTCCTGGCATACTGTCATCTATCACTCTCATCAGAATGCCCAGGTCACACACACGTAACAAAAACACTTGCAGGTCACGCGCATAGCGCGGGAATGCCGGAGCGGAGCTGTTTTATGTAAAAGCGAAGCAATTAAGCGCGCTCAGACTTCTTTATTTTCTTTTAATCTAAAAAGCGAAGTAAAGCATTTACAATTTCAAGCACTTTATCCCAAATTCAAGCACCATTCCCAAAATTCAAGCACTTTTCAAACCTTGAAAACACCTCGTACAATTTCAAGCATTTTCAAGGATTTCCAGCACCCGTACGCACCCTGCAACTTGGACTCTCCTATAAAGTGGAGTTTTCTCACCATAGTCATGTTCTGCTGTAGATCATCTTCCAGCTTCCTCTTCTGCTCAGTGACAATTTGGAGAGACATATTGAGAGTTGCCATCTGTCGAAGCATATATGTATTGATAAATCATCCTCCAAATACTTGCTAAACAATTCCAAACTCAAAAGACATTTTGAACAGCTCAGAGAAGAAAAGGTGTTCTTCTCAGTTATTTTTTCTTTTATGGGGGTCATAAAACTGTGTGAACGCCATGCTGGGTGACAGCATACCCAACTACTAATATATCTGATGAAAACAGACATGGGGGATGGAAACAGAGGGCAGAGCAACTGGTCACAAACCTCAGTGTGCATTGTCTCCATCCTGTCCTCCAGCTGGTCTCTGAGCTGCTGCTTCTGCTGCCTCAGTCCCTCCAGGGTCTCCTGCAGCTGGTCTCTGTCCTCACTGAGAGACGTCACTCTGCTCTGCAGCTTCTCCATCTCCTCACTGTGAGTGTCGGGCGTCCTCTCAGACAGCAGAGCGTCTCTCTCTGCTCGCACACTCTCAAGCTCCTCAGACAGTGTCTGAATCTGTTATGTTAAAATATAGTCCTAATTGTTATTTCAAATAAACAGTGATGTGAAAACAAAGAAAATCATCAATTATTACTATTGGGTAATCCCCCTGCGCAGCGGGATTACCCAATAGCGATAGCCTTAGAGGGCTACGCCAATACTCATAGAAACTGGAGCTACAGTAGGTAACTTCAGTTTGGATTACTGGTCTGGGGGAAGCTTGCGAGAGTGTGTGTGTGTTTGTGTATTTTTGCATTTGTGTGTATTGTGTTTGTTTCCCGGGGAAAACACTCACGAGAAACACCGGCTGTTGTTATGCCTGCTGCTCCGTTCTCCGCTTGTAATTATGCCGTTACAAGCTTCAAAGTTGTATTTATCATCTGAATTTGCCAAAACAAGTTTAATATTCTGAAAGCCAAGACTTTGTTTATTTGAAATCAGATGAAAACAAACTGTCACGGAACCTGCCGTGTTATCTATGATTACTATACGCCTTTACCTCCGGAGGGAGGGGGAGCGGCGATTCGGAAGAGCCCAGTGCGAGTGAGAAGTGCCGGTCATCTTCCCTTTACAAGCTTCAAACATGTATTTATCGTGTGATTTTGGAAATAAAAGTTTCATATTCTGAAAGCCAAGACTTTGTTTATTTAAAATCAAACAAAACACCCGAACCCCGAGAAACACATTTTTTTTTACGCAAATCCACGTTTATTTTTAAATGAGCCGTTGCGACTTCCGACTGATTTCGATAGAGCGGTTAATATTAAACCCACAAAAAGCCCCGCTAAAAACAAGCTGGAAAAAATGAGTGCAACACCCATTATCTGTCTCCCATTACCCGTAGATTGGACCGGCTTGTTGCAGAGACACAAGCTCAGGGCTCCCACTAATTCAGCGTAATGGTGAGTTGTATTTTTATGCACTTTATATTTGTTTTTATGCCGGTGTTCAACTGGTTAGATCTGCTTACGCATTTACTTTGATTACTTCCTTCTTTTGCGGATGTGCGAGAGACTTTGAGACAGCAAACTGTGTTGAGTCAGTGTTTGAACGGGCAGATTATCTGTAAACTGCAGCATATAAATGAAGCCTGCAATAAATAAATAAAATCGATTGAACTATAGCCGAGGCAATTAAGGTCTGAACCCATGCTTTGAAAAACGCTACTTTACTTGCTTGTTATCTAATCGTCTGTTCCGCGGTGCCGTAGACACGTTTGTTTTTGTTGCAATTATATGCCTTTGTGGTGTGTTTGATTGCAACATTCAACCCAATGGAAAATAGCTAACCAGTTAACACAATAACCAGTTAAACAGGATCACAGGTTGTATTATGTCATATTTATCCCCCCACAATTTGATCGCCGGTCCGCGAAAATATTTTCTCACATGAAACCGGTGCGTGGTGCAAAAAAGGTTGGGGAGCGCTGGTCTATATGATCATATGACAGAGGAACAGATCGTCACTGGGCTTACAACTAAAGACACAGCCACGCAAAAACTGCGGCATGTGTACAGCTCCTTATGTGTACTGCAATTTTTGAAGTGCCGGAGCGGCGTTCTGGGGCTCTCCGTCAGCACTACACCACGTGATGACACGCTACGCTCGTGTTGTGTTCAAGGAACCTGTCCTTGGCCAAGAAAAATAGGAGCTCGCTTGTTTAATTATTTTGCGGTCTAGATTTCTTTAATTTCTTAATTTTTTCGTGTGTTTATAAATGACCTCGAGGGCCGTATCAAATGGTCTCGCGGACCGTAGGTTCCCCACCCCTGATGTAAAGAAATGCAACAGTATTGTAGTTTATAGCCCAACGTTAGCTTTTTATTTCGGGAGAGTACAAAATAATCCGGGGGCCCAGCAGGAATTTTCCCCAAGAAACTGGGCCTGATTATAGTGGGACTGGTCAGTATATACAAGAATCTCAAACTATAGTACTCAGTGTTTACCATCTCCATCCTGTCCTCCAGCTGGTCTCGGAGCTGCTGCTTCTCCTGCCTCAGTCCCACCAGGGTCTCCTGCAGCTGGTCTCTGTCCTCACTGAGAGACGTCACTCTGCTCTGCAGCTGGTCTCTGTCCTCACTGAGAGACGTCACTCTGCTCTGCAGCTGGTCTCTGTCCTCACTGAGAGACGTCACTCTGCTCTGCAGCTTCTCCATCTCCTCTGTGGAGCTCTGACCGCTGGTCTCCTTCACAAACGGCGCATCTCTTTCTGCACGGACACTCTCAAGCTGCTCCGTCAGATCCTTGATCTGTTTGACATGGGGAGATTTCAAACTTCTTATCAGAACATGTACAATAGAGGATCAGTTTGAAGACATGTTCTTTATTAAAATGTCATCTCACCTGTTGATCCAACTCAGATTCCTTCTGCTCACAGAGCTTCAGGTGCTCAGAGCGATGTTGCTTCTGCTCTTGGAGCTCCTCTTGAAGAGAATGAAGACTGCGCAGAGTTTCTTCAACCTGAACATAAGAGAACAGTTTATATATAAAACAACATACTTCTGAAAAGGGAAACTAAACATATAGCTTAAGTGAAAAATGTTGCAAGCAACAAACCTGTTGTTGTAGCTGAGCTTGCTGCTCTAGGCTTAGTGTTTCCAGGTCGATGTTTCTCTGATTGTGCTCTTCAAGTTGTTGTTCAAGTGAATGTAGAAGGCTCTCAGTCTCTGTAGCCTAAAAACAGGAAAATAAATAACAATCAAATATTTCCCAATCATCCATAGAATAGGAAAACGTATAAAAATGTGAGCAAACGCTCTGTAACACACAAACACTTAAACCACCAAGTGTCAGATCTCAGACACGGACCACTCCCCCTCACCTTTTCCATATTACGCTGCAGATCGACTTCGAGCAGGCTCTTCTGCTCACTGACAGTCTGTAAAGTATCCTGCAGTTGCTTTATCTGAGGAGGAAAATTGGCCCATTCAGTATTTTGAATATTGAACCAGGGATTTTAAAGATGCGAATGGCATTTATTAATATTATTTATTATTATAAAAAAAACACCATGAAGAGACCTAAGCCAACATCAGAAGACTTCAGTATTATTCTTTTACCTCTTTCTGAAGGTTGGTTACTTCCGCAACATGCAGTTCTGAGGTCAGTATTTCTGGCTGGTTAAACTCACATTCGGCTTGGGCAACCTGCACAAAAAAAAAAACGTTAGTTTCTTTTCCCCCCCTTTCTAAAAAGATCTAAAATAATCAGTCATAAACTAATATTTCTTTCTTTAGAAGAACCCATTTTAACTAACCATCTCCATCCTGTCCTCCAGCTGGTCTCTGAGCTGCTGCTTCTCCTGCCTCAGTCCCTCCAGGATCTCCTGCAGCTGGTCTCTGTCCTCACTGAGAGACGTCACTCTGCACTGCAGCGTCTCCATCTCCTCACTGTGAGTGTCGGGCGTCCTCTCAGACAGCAGAGCGTCTCTCTCTGCTCGCACACTCTCAAGCTCCTCAGACAGTGTCTGAATCTGTTAAGTTAAAATATAGTCCTAATTGTTATTTCAAATAAACAGTGATGTGAAAACAAAGAAAATCATCATTCAGTTCAGATGGTTATCAATCATCATTTCACGGCCTAGTTGAATACTCGATTCAGATTGGTTGATTCCGACATTATAGAGGTTATTAAGTAGGCAAATTAACTCAAACACGTCATGTTACAATTATTTTGCTGCTTGCTACAAAAGGAAAACTTGCGCAGCTCTCATGTCAGGGGTACTTGAGTGAGTGACATGCAGGCTCTGCATGCACAGCAAACCACAATCAAATCTCTAAATCAAACGGATCCGGTGATTAAAGGTAAAAACACTGAATAAAGTAGTTTCATGTGTTTCTCCAGGGCAGATCGGCGCTGCTAACCGAGCTAGCTCAGCTTGTTGCTCTGATAACTTAAGATCCAGACGTCCGTGACTAAAATCCTTACTCCGGTTAAATATAGTTAAAAAAAATACCAATTGTATAGCATTAAAGTTCAAGAAAGGATGGTTTGCGAAAAAAAACGGTCTTTTCTTCAATTCCTGTATGTTTTCATATCGCAATATATATCGCAGGGGGGGGAAAAAAATCGCAATGTCAGTTTTTTCCAATATCGTGCAGCCCTAATTATGGGTATCAGATATATAAAAAACAAAGTGTTTTGCTCAAAAATATGTCTAATACATTTTAGACATCCCTCATATCCCTCTATTTCAGCCCTGTTAGAGAATGGCTGATTCTCTGGTGGCCACGTTTCTGATAGGGCCGTGGGTGTAAAGCCCGCCCACAATTCCGATATTACGTCATATCGGACGCAAATCTGGATCAGCTCTGTTATACCCCCGTTTTTAGAGATGTGGGTACGGAGGAAAAGAGAGAGGGTTTATTTTCTGACACTTTGTGAGTTCCCTTACACAGCGGGGACACATATTTACGTATAAAGGTCCTTACACACCAAACTGACACCAAAGAACACGTCCCGACGGAACGTCGCCTCACGTCTTGGCCATCTTTCGCACTGGAACACACCGCAAAGACTTCAGCCGACGGCCAAGTTGCACGTACGAACTGCGCATGCGTGAGTGGCAATAACTCTCCTTACCAGCAGGCGGCGGTAGTGTGTATTCGTCATTCAAAAGAGGCAACAACCGGAAGACAGACTGCGTGATACACCGAGAGAAGAAGAACAGACTGCGTGATATAAACAAACAACAAATAGCGTGTGTGTTCCATTTTCACTCTACAGCGAGAAGCTCATGGGGCTTTCCCGAACCTGTGTCGAGGGCTGGAGTTAAATGAAATCTCAGATATGCCTTCTTAATAGTTTGTTTGGGTCCCTCACTTCCTTTTCGCTTATCATGCACTGATTCGCTAAGCTGAACAGCCAATCAGAGTGATTTCTTTGGCCGACGGCCTTCCCGATTCGACGTGTCGAATCGGCGGCGGAAGGTGTCGGCAAGGCCGAAAAGACACGACGGTGCAGTACACACCAAGACACACCAATCTGAGTAGGGCGACACGTCGCTCATTGACATCTATCGACGCCGAAAATCGGCTTGGTGTGTAAGGACCTTTAAAGACATCAAAAAGTGCATTTTGCATGATAGGACACCTTTAATACGTTTTCGGAGTAAAGTTGTTCGTTTATTTAGTATGTGGGCGTGTAATAAGCGGGATAATGAGCAGTGAGGCGGTCATTATTGGATTCAGGTTGATCATGGAGCCCTACGTGAAGCGGTTGGGTGTTCTTATTCCAATAATGACCGCCTCACTGCACATTATGCCTCACTTAAGATTGTGTCTAAATTCACTGGATTGATTCAAAAGAGTGTAGTCCTGCCTGATTGTGCAGCTCCTGCAGCTGGAGGGTAATCTCTGCATCACTCGCTCTGCTCTCCAGCTCTGCCTTCTGACTCTTCAGTGCGCTGATCTCATCTTGGAGAACTCTCACTTTCTCCTGAGACACCCTCAGCTCCTCCTGGTTCTCCATCATCTGAAAGAGATTACCACCACAAGTGTTCAAGTGAAGATCTATTTTGTACAAAGTTACTTACAGCTTGCATTTACATTTCTTGTACCACTTGTTCCTGAAGAGGTGATAATTAGTAAATATAAAGTCCAGTTTTACTAAATGTAACATGATTTTTTGATGTCCATCAAAGCCTTGTAGTAAACCTGAGGTAACTCCTCTGTTGAGACTTGTAAAAACATGCTTTAAGATGACAACAAAGGTGGGGTTAAAGGAGTTTGTAGAACAAACATGATTCTGATGAAGTAAGGATCAAATTAAGAATCAGAAAAGAAGAATTAAGAATTAAGAAAAGATTTTACAATGAATACTTTAAAGCTGAAGTAAGCACAGAGTTGTTGTCAGAGTATCCTACAAAATGTCATTTAGTAAAAAAAGAGTATTCCAGAAGCATTAAGGAAGTCTTACAAGTGTTTGCAGCTCCTCTATCTGTGCACTGGTCTCGTTGGGAGGAGCTTCCTGTTGGGATGTCTGTGCATTCTCCAGCTGTTTGATCGTCTCCCTCCGTTGGCGGTTCTTCTCCAGGGCTGTCCTCAGCTCCTCCTGATTCTCAATCATCTGTTTGGGAAAAAAATAATTTATGTTTGGGCTACACCAGCGTTTCTCAAAGTGTGGGGCGCAGAGATGTGATAGGTGGGTCGCGAATGGACGTGAGATTTTTTTTGGACCTCAGGCCAGAATCGAACCTGGGTCCTCGCGGGCGGTAGTGGACTGTTACAGCCGGAGACTTGCAACAGCGGTGGACTTTCACAAGATTTAAAGATCTCCTATCAAGTTATTTCTAGGCATATATTATGGGTATCAGATATATAAAAAACATAAAGTGTTTTGCTCAAAATACCAAACAGATCATACATTTTAGACATCCCTCATATCCCTCTATTTCAGCCCTGAATGGCTGATTCTCTGGTGGCCACGTTTCTGATAGGGCCGTGGGTGTAAAGCCCGCCCACATTTCCGATATTACGTCCTATCGGACACAAACCTGGATCAGCTCCGTTATACCCCCGTTTTTAGAGATGTGGGTACGGAGGAAAAGAGAGCGTTTATTTTCTGACACTTTGTGAGTTCCGTTACACAGCGGGGACACATATTTACGTATAAAGGTCCTTACACACCAAACTGACACCAAAGAACACGTCCCGACGGAACTTTAAAAATCACGCTGTGAAAGTCCACGGCCCACCTATGCCAGAGCCAGAGGCCCACCGAAGGCAGCAGCCCACCAACGGCAGCGGCTCACCGGGAAAAGTCCTGAATCTCCCGATGGCCAATCCGAGCCTGCTCACACACACAAAACTGAAACCTAAATAATTTACAGACATATGTAAAAATCTCTCATGTGAACACACATGTGAAACCGTGACACTTTTCGAAATCCCGTTAGCAAATAGGCCTATGTTTATTATTATTTTTTATTGCAAGCCGTCATCCCCACAGCCTCTGTGAGCGAGCGAGACAGAGCGAGAGAGCAAGAGCACACCTTTATCTATTTAATATAGCCTAGTTGTAAAAAATAAAGCAATACATCATTCCAATGTGTACTATAGGACAGTAAAAAAAACAAAAACAGTTTAACCTGTTAAGCTCTGAGCCTGTTTTTCAGGTGACATTCCCAGAACAAATGACCATATCTTCCCTTCTAAAAGGCTTAAATTAATAATCTTTTTTCTCAAAGTAATGATAAACCTGTGAGTTGGATGTAGAAAAGTCAGAATCAATATAGATGTTTTTTTATTTTAAAGAAAATTCAGATTGAACATAGTAAAAAACTGTAAATTATAGCGTCCGTCCAAAAATTATTTTTGACTTATAGTGAAAACTACCCTTGGATGATGGTAAGGTAGACTAAAAGCTTTAGGAATCCAAAGTACAACATATAATATATATATCTGAATATTCGTTTGTTGGAGTACTATTCGGGTTTCAATTTCGTTATTCGGATATTCGTTTTGTTTGTTTTTTTTCCACGTTTTTTTTCTCAAATTGAATTAATTGAAATCTTCAATATCAACGTAAGAGCGTGTGCCTCTTCGGGGGGTGCTAAGACTTAACCATAAACGTTATCGTTTACTTTCTCCGTCTTTATATGTAGATATTACTTTTCTCCGTTAATCCCGTCACGTTGTTTCCAAAGCAACAACAACTTCCTGTCAACTGCGCTAACTCTCCTTCAAAATAAAAGGATGTCCATAAATAGGAAGCCAAGCCAAATTACACTTAAGACATATTCAACTGCAACGAAAGTAACAAACACAATGCGATATCCTTTTCAATTTCAAAGAACACAAATTGGGTTACATTAACAAATAACTATAAAACGACAATACTGTAGAATAACAAAATGAATGCCGTGAATACACCGAAATATACGTGTTGAAGCGGTTCGCTGCTGATTATGCCGCCGCCGCTGGCTCATGATACTTGTGCTTGTACTTATGAAATATATATGTAAAAATATATTGCACAGTATTCATGTGTGCCACATTTTCAATTAAATGTAGTCAATTAAAGTTGAGAACATTTTCTGACAAATCTTTGTTGATAAAAAAAGCCAGATAACTTCTTTCTAGGGATGGGTATCGTTAAGGTTTTAACGGTACTACTACTTTTATCGATACCGCTTATCGATCCGGTCCTTTAACGGTACTCTTATCGGTTCTTTTGGAAGAAAAAAATAAGGTAAACTAACTAAACAAATTGTAAACAAAATGAACATTGCTTTTTATTTAAATTAAATAAATAATATTTTACATCAAGGGGATGGACTCGGGATGGGGCTACAGAGAAAGAAAGTCGAAAACTGTGCATTTCTCTGTCTGAATGTGGTGCACTTTTGCTAAATGTTTAGACAAATTGCTTGTGTTACCGCCCTGACATGCTAAACTCTTATTGCAATTTTGGTAACGAGCATTGTCCAGCCACATCGAGAGGTAAAGTTTAACCACACCTTGGGGCACTTAGTTCTCTCCGCCATCTCCTCCGTGTGTATGTGTTGCATGCATGTAGCAGCTGCGTGTGTATAAACTGCCCCGCCCCCTCGCACACAGACAGGGGAGAGAGATCTCTCGTCTGGATTGGAAAGATCGAAAATACATCATAGACGCATTTTATTTATTTTTTTGCATATTAGAAACGGAGTTGGTGACACTAAGACTGCAATATAATGTTTATGTAGCAATAATACACATGACATGTCTCCAGTACCGATAAAAAGACCGATAACGTCTGAGTTTAACGGTACCACGGTCTTTAATAATTCAGCCACAGGGCTCCTTTAATACCGGGGCTCGGTACCCATCCCTACTTCTTTCTATAACAAGCTTGAAATACACCCTTCATATTTCCACTTATAAGCAATCTGAGGCTTCCGTGTTAAGGAATTATTGTAACAAAATAAATGAAACCCTACGGAGAGCTGCGATGTAGGCTGATTAAAATATCTGGCAAAAATGTACCTACATTGGATTTATTTTGCTAACCTATAACTTCACTTAGTTAGTGAGTGGCCCAGCCTTTCGTATGTTTTTCTGTAAGTGGCCCTGTGTCACATGGTAACTCACCATGTCTACATTTTCCTGAAGGTCTCCCTGGAGCTGGTCTCTCTCTGCAGTGAGAGATGTGACTGCAGAGAGCAGCTTCTCCATCTCCTCTGCAGAACTCTGAGCAGCAGCACTCTGCTCAGACAGGAGAGTCTCTTTCTCAGCACGCACACTCTCAAGTTCCTGTGACAAACTCAGCATCTGTTGGGAAGATTTCAAACTGACAGTCAGAACACTGACAAAGAAGGACTGCTTTTGAAAGACTGCAGATCAGACACGTCACTCACATGTTCCCCTAAAACAGACTCCTTCTGCTCGTAGAGTTTCACCAGATCGGAGTGCTTGGTCCTTTGCTGCTGCATCTCGTCTTGAAGAGACTGTAGAATAATTTGTGTCTCAACTGCCTACAAATAAGAGACAATATTGTAAATAAACAAGGAATAATTTTGACCAAAGGAAACTTTTATAGCCAGGAAAATAAAGCTGGAGAAGAGGTGACTTAGAGCAAGGGCTGTGAATTTAAAAAGGCTGGCAACATGGAAGCTTAACTTAAATTTGTGAACAAATTGGCACAGAGAATATTTTAAACATATAAAAATATCTCATTTGTGTCAAAGGACGAGACTGTTAATTGGTCAACATTATAAATGAGAAATTAATGAGAAAATTAACAAATCTGTTGTTTTTCTAACAATATAGTTTAGTTGTGTACCCCAAAGTTTTATGTTAGAAATGTATAGTACATGTCCACAGCCAGAGATGGAGTACTCGAGTGCCGATTTTCGGGACTCGTGACTCGACTCGCGCACTGATTGACGCGACTTGGACTCGTGAATTCTCGCGCACGATGACTTGGACTCCGACTCATGAATTCTCGCGTACGCTGACTTGGACTCGGACTCGTGAATTTTTCCCCCCACGATGACTCGAACTCGACTTGTACATTGACGCACCGACTTGGACTCGAGCAAGTTTTCTCTGGAGTCTGATGTCCTCTATCCTGGCATGTGCACCTGTGAGGAGAGTTCAGTACTGGGCCCCGCTATTCCAGTCTAAAGATGTCTAGAGACACACCCTGCATCGTGCTGTATGCTTTCACACATTCTGCTTCCACATTGGGAAAGAGCAGCGCAAAATGCTCGTTATGTGGAAACAATATTGAAGAAGGCTCCGTAACACATTACTCTAAGGATCGAGTTCAGACATATAGGCTGTCTTGAACACTATCATCAGAGTAACGTGATCTAATCAATAAATAAAGATTCAGCCGATAACACGAAAGCACACGGCTACTTAACATGCAGAATGACCTTAACATGCAGAATGACGTCATTTTGCATGCTAAGTAGCCAGGTGCTTTCTGGGGCTAAATCTTTATCAGTAAACCGATTTAACCGGTAAAAGTTCCTTCAAAATAAGAGTCCCGATCTTATTACTATCAAAATAAAAGTGCAAAACGAAAACTTTACCATAGGAAAATATTGGCATACAAATATAATCACTTCTCTAAAAAGGTAACTCCTTTTAAATATAGTTAGACATATTAAAGGTCATTTACAATAATAATAATATAAGCTTTATATTTGTATAGCACCTATTACAAGACTTGTAGCCAAACTGGCTTCACAGCAGTTCAATAGACAGATTAGTATAACATGACAGGATAAAAGCAATGTAGAGGAGCAGCTACATTTCAACACATATATCCATGAAGATTAATACATGAAGACTTGTGACTCGGACTTGACTTGGACTCTTCTTAGGTGACTCGGACTTGGACTCGGACACAGGTAATGATGACTCGGACACTCCTTGGGTGACTCGGACTTGGACAAGGACTCGAACACAGGCAATGATGACTCAGACTTGACTCGGACACTCCTTGGGTGACTCGGACTTGGACTCGACTACGACTCTCCCTTGGTGACTCGGACTTGGACTCGACTACGACTCTCCCTTGGTGACTCGGACTCGAAGAGTGGTGACTCGAGAGTGACTTGGACTCGTGAATTGGTGACTTGACTACAACACTGTCCACAGCACATAGAAACTGCTGCAGTGTTTCCCCTACCATCGTCTTGGAGGGGACGCTGCGCCCCGCCAACGGAGCCCCGCCAACGGAGCCCCGCCAACGGAGCCCCGCCAACGGAGCCCCGCCAACGGAGCCCCCCCCAACGGAGCCCCGCCAACGGAGCCCCCCCCTGAGATTCAAGGTGTTGCCAAATTGCAACTAATCTATATCTACTGTCACTTTTCACATTGAACATGTGCTCTTTTTTTAAATAAACTAAACGCTTTCATTTTAAGTTGTGGGTTTAGTATTTTTGACCCTAAGAAACACTGATGCATTAATCAATAACAATAATCCACAGCTCCTCTCTGCTCCAGAGGATTAAAAAAAATATATCTCAATATATACTGCTGCTACCACATTCCATGCATCAGTAATTATAATCCAAGATTATATTAATATACAACATCATAACACTGACAGGCAAATGATGTATCATCATGTACATCTGTATCCTCTGACTTTTATTGTAGTATAGCTAATTGTATCCTCATTCTAATGGTGTGTTATCTAATGGCTGTAGTATGAAGGTACGAAATAAAGTTTTGTATTTTGCAGTAGCGGTAAAAAGTGGTTTATTATCAAATGTAGAACTGTACAATGTAAACAATCGACTAAAATACAATAAGATAAAAAATTATTAAGTAATAGGCCTACAATTTAAAAAAAAATAGCCACATCGTCCAGGGTCCTGTCCGTTAAATACTTGAAGAAGCTATTGTCCACCTCATGCAGGAAGTGTGGAAGCAAATTACGTGGCAACCGAGTTGGTCTTCGGTTTCTTCATTCCAGATCGCCATGATTTAAAATAAATTCTTGCGTCCAGGTGAGATGAAAATGAAAAATAATAGACGTCTGTGTGTGCCTTCTTCACTTCCGTTTCGCTTTTCATGCTCTGATTCGCTAAGCTGAACAGCCAATCAGAGTGATTTCGGCCAAAAAGACACGACGGTGCGGGACACACCAATCTGAGTAGGGCGACAGGACGCTCATCGACGGCCAGACATCTATCGACGGCCAAAATCGGCTTGGGGTGTAGGGGCCTTAAGGGACCCCTACTATATATTTCTAACATAAAACTTTGGGGTACTCAACATTTCCGGGTTCATAATAGGACTCTTGGAGCTCGCAAACAGACTATTATCAAACAGCAATGTAGTCACTCACCATGTCTACATTTTCTCCCTGGAGCTGGTCTCTCTCTGCAGTGAGAGATGTGACTGCAGAGAGCAGCTTCTCCATCTCCTCTACAGAACTCTGAGCAGCAGCACTCTGCTCAGACAGGAGAGTCTCTTTCTCAGCACGCACACTCTGCAGCTCTTCAGACAGCTCATCCAGCTAGAGGTTTCAGAAGGAAAAAAACTCAGTTGCAATGGGCTGGTGGGATTGTGTAACGTGAGCAACACAAAGTTTGCAGATCCCCAGGGCTTTCGAAAGCTCTGCGCCCGGCGAAAAAAAACAATAACATTTTTGAAGGAGAGGCAAGGGGGAGGCTTGTTTTGTCATTTCTATCACTTTAAATGCAAAAACAAACTATTAACCCGTTAAGCCCGAGAGACCCCGGTACCGGGGCACCGCCGCAACATCTTGCAGGAAACAGTGTCTGAGGGCATGTTCATTTAATAAACTATGAATGTTTTATATCCATGTAACGGGAAGAAACTCATCTAACTGATCATTTTTATTTATTTTTCAAAAGAAAACCCACAATGCTAACACTGAGCCTCTGAATTAGCAACGAGCGAAAAATGCTAACAGATTACTGCACCGAAAATCACTCACAAAACCTTATTATTTATCTCTTCTCCACATCCATGACATCGATTCACATCGTGAGGTGACACAGAATCGAAGGGTACCCTCATTATCACTGAATTATACGAATTTGCGACGTTATAAACAAAAACAGACATCAAAACAGGTGACGCTAGGTAGCTAAAAATGCTAACATTTTTACCTTGGCTCTGTAGTCTCTCCAAAGTGGTCTTCAATGGCATTAAAATGATAAAAACGCTGCTGAAGTTAATCCAATGTGTCTGTGTCCCTTTGAAATGATTTCTGATAATCCATAAGCAATAAAGCTAGAGATAGGTTCACTCTGATGCAAAATTACATGCGCAAAGCCCCCACCTTTTCGTTTCACAATGAGTGTGTGTGGGGGACTCCCCCTTCGATTCTATTGGCTCTTACGGACCGTCCACACAGCAGCGTTAAAAAAATCTTGAAACGCTTCTGCCCATTCACTTTGAATGGGGTGACGTCATTTGCCTCACTTTTCGCCGAACTGCATTGTGGGCAGGTGAGCGGAGATTTTCAGGATTTTCAGGATTCAAAGTTGAGCAATGTTCAACTTTTGAAGCTGAGGTGGAAGCGTCAGCCAATCAAATCCCGTGTATGCAAATCTGACAGTTCAAGCACTAGCCAATCAAACCGCGTTTATGCTGGGAGAGACATACCGCAGGTCATTTCCTCATATTCCAAAAAATGGAGGAGAAATTAGCGGTAGGGAATCACCCGGTGCTTTATGACCAGTCCCTATTTACCTACCGGGATATAAACCGGAGGAGCCAGGCATGGAGGGAGGTGGCAGAGACAGTGGCATGTTTTCGCCTGTTTGGGGAGTTTATATCCAGTTTACTTCAAACTGTTTTGCTTCGTATGTCGGGGGCGGGAGATTCATGTGATTGGTTGTTGGTGCCTTGCTCGCAAAAAATCCCCTAGCTTCAGATACGCCCACCTCCAAGATTTTTTTAACGCTGCTGTGTGGACGGTCCGTTACGGTCAGAAAGAGGTGTCAACCATCAAAATCGAGCAAGGTAGGCCAGAGATATGGAAAATCCACCCAAATGACCCCAGAAGTGGTTTCTTTTTGCTAAATCTCTCTAAAAAGGTCAAATGTCACTTGTTTTGCATCAATCTTGATACAGGGTACTTATTATATGTTGTACTTTGGATTCCTAAAGCTTTTAGTCTACCTTACCATCATCCAAGGGTAGTTTTCACTATAAGTAAAAAAGAATTTTTGGACGGACACTATCATTTACAGTTTTTTTACTATGTTCAATCTGAATTTTCTTTAAAATAAAAAACATCTATATTGATTCTGACTCTTCTACATCCAACTCACAGGTGTATCATTACTTTGAGAAAAAAGATTATTAATTTAACCCTTTTAGAAGGGAAGATATGGTCATTTGTTCTGGGAATGTCATTTTCGAGTCTGAGACCTGAAAAATAGGCTCAGGGCTTAACACGCAGACCACGGCTGTCTAGATGCAGGAATGAGTCTTAAGCTGGAAATAGTAGCATTTTAGCCATTCAGGTCCCGCCTCGTCAGTCAGTGGTTGTGTTATGATTGACCGGTCGTTACTTTAAGACTATATAAACATACATACAAATATACGTCACTTGGTTCCCGGAAGACAAAAATGGAAAAAGAAAAATCTCAAACGAGGCGTTCTGGGGCAGCATAGACAGGTCTTTTCTGTGTTCGAGTTTTACTCGCTACAGGGTGTACTTTGAGGGTTTGTGACTCTGCAGACCGTTTACATGCATAAAAATCTACATAACACACAAGGGGACGGGTAATAACCGGAAAAGCATGACATGGGACCTTTAAGTATTGGGACTATAGTATATTAAGTAGTGTTACTATTTTAATAGTCGGACTAAGACTTTTCAAAGTTCGGAACAGGGGTTTTTCAGAGTTACTATGAGTTTTTATTTATTAAATCAACCAAACAATTTTTGTATTTATAAATCCATGTGTATATCTTGGATTAAGCCGCAGCGACACCCGACTGATTCTGATGTCCTACTTTCCATGGAGGATGAATGGAGGACTCACCTGCTTCATCAGACTGTCCACCTTCTCTGGAAGAGTCTGGAAAGAGGCCAGCTCCTCCAGCTGAGCTTTGAGCTCTCCCTCTGCTTCCTGAGACACCGTCAGCTCTCTGCTCAGCTGGGCCACTCTCCTTTCAAGCTCCATGCTGTCTATCAGATCTGGGACAGAAAACATCTTACAACTCTGATCTCATTCCACAGATTGAATGTCTACTCTTATAACACCTGACTTTGAACGTACTTTGTGGTACTTTTCCATCCAGCAGTGAGGTGAGCTTTGTGTTCTCGTCAAATACCACATTCAGCTCTTTTTGGAGATCGCTCTGCATCTTTCTGAAGCTCGTCTTCTCTGTGTCGAGTTTACAGCGCAGGCTTCTCACCTCAGCTTCCATCTTCTCATGGTTGGCACTCAGAATCAGCTGGAGAGGAGATAATGACAAGACACATTAGATTTAAAAATAATAATAAAACGGCATGCAATTTAACTTTTAAATAAAAGTGACCTTTAATAACTAAAACACCAATAACTAAAAAATCAATACAAAATGTTTATTTTCCTTCCATATTTGTACAAATATGGTTGGATAAAATTGTTTTCCTCCAATTTGAATTATATTTTGGAAGATATCCCTTTTACCAAAATGATCTTTTGGCAATTTATGTCTTTAACTTATTGACCAAAAAAAAGGAAGCTTGAAGGAGGGGTTTTGACCTTCTGAAGGTCGTTCTGCCCTTTGAGGGCAGGAGAGTTGAACTTAAAACTTTGAAAATGTACAATATTGGACCAATATTATCAAAGAAGATAAAATAATATTATTGTGATATTATATTTGGAGTAAAAGTTGGCCTAAACCACACGACACTAGATGGGTATCGTTAAGGTTTTAACGGTACTACTACTTTTATCGATACCGCTTATCGATCCGGTCCTTTAACGGTACTCTTATTGGTTATTTTGAAGAAGAAAAAAAAAGGTAAATTAACTAAACAAAATTGTAAACAAAATGAACATTGCTTTTTATTTAAATTAAAGGGGACCTATCATGCAAAATGCACTTTTGTACATCTTTTATACATGAATATGTGTCCCCGGTGTGTCAGGGAACTCACCAAGTGTCAGAAAACAAAACCCTCTCTTTTCCTCCATACCCAAATCTCTAAAAACGGGGCTGCAACGGATCCGATACAGAAAATTCTCTGACGTCAGGAACGAGGAGCTCCGCCTATATGGCCAACTCTCCACCTATCAGGGGAATGTGGGCTTGGGCCACGGCCGGCCATTGCCGCTCGAAAGCGCTGGAGACGCTGTAGTACATATGCCAGGCCTGTAAGTGGCGCTGTAGTCTGCCACAAAAGCAGCGAAGAAGACTTCCCTTGCATGGTTGCCATGGTTGCCCTTCTGTTTATTCTCCGCTGTGGCTTTTTGTCTCCCTCCCCGAGGCAAGCGTTTGCTCCTCCTGCTGCTGTAATTCAATGCAATCCCTCCCCGTCGAGGCAAGCACTGTAATTCTCTCCGGTAGTCCACCAGCAGATGACAAACACCCACCTTTCCACCTCTTCCAAGGGACCGTGCGGCAGAGTTTGTTAGATTTTTTTCCGCCGGTCAACATGTCCGTTAAAGTTTAAATCTTCCGGACAAAATTAGAAAAGTGCCGGTCAAAGGTCTTCCTTGTTATTTATTGAGCTTTAAAACAAATGAATAATGACTCTATATAATCATATAAGAATAAAACACGGAGGACGGAGATCTCTTTTTCTCCCCCTCTTCTGACAGCCCAGCAGCTGATCTCAAAGCACGCTCCCCTCTCCTGCAGGGGGGCGTAGTCAGCTGCAGCTCATTTGCATTAAAGCTACGTCACAGAATCAGCCCCTGCAAACACACGTCAGTGTTTTCCCCTAAGTTTATTGCCTTGGCAGGGTGCCCGATTTTTTTTAATTTTGAATTTTTTTTATCCTCTGCAGCAGAGAGGAGCTGTGGATTATTGTTATTGTACAGTAACAAAGTATTTGTACATTCAAAAGTAATAAAGTACAGTGTTACACTGTACTTTATTACTTTTATTCAAACTGTATTCCCTTCTTATCATGTAGCCTACACTTCTTCCTTTCATTGATACATTTAAATCACCTGACTACAGCATATAACATACCTGCTGCAACCCTGTGCTGCTGCTGCTTCTCTCTGCCTCATCCTCTATTGCTGGAGGCAGCTCCACCTCATCTGATCTCTGATATGAAAGCAATCGTTATGATCATATTGAGCTATTGGTGTGAGTCTAACGTTAAACAAGCAGTCTGCTTGTCATACATTGCTGACGATACATTTTAAGAGGCAATTTGTTGAGTCACTGCCGCTAAATGCCGGTAGCATCAAGCTAGCAAATCCTGCATTAGCCTCACATCAACAGGTGTAGACAGAACATACAATTATCCTGAGCTAATTTACTGAATAAACCAACTCACATCTCCTGTCTTTTTTTTGACCCAACTCATTAGACTATTCTTCTGCTGGCGTTTCATTGTTTTCTGTCAAATTCAATACTGTAGTTCAAAACCGCGGTACCTGCTCACCATCTGTGAGCTATTTTTAGAATGCGCACGCTACGTTCGTTGTCGCGTTCGCGGGCGTCCACCTGGGCAGGCTGTGTGTGTCCTTCTCCTCCGTGACGATAACGGCTTGAGGTTAAAAAATAATAAACGAATTTGAAACTGGGGGGGGGGGGGCACAAACGGGCAGACAGCAGAGCTCGGGGCAATAATGCAGATTTGTTTGACTTTTTACACTTTGTTGTTCTCCTCCTTTCCTCCGCTCTTGTCTCTGATTGTGAGTGTGTGCATTCGCGTGTGTGGGGAGCGGAGCCCCGCCCTTCAGAAACAGAGCGGAGGGAGAATGTGAATACGCAAAGCAGTGGACACTGAAACATGCACATACATTGGATAAATAACATAGGCGTTTAGTTAATTTAATAAAAGAGCACATGTTCAATGTGACCGTAGATAGATTACTTCAGTTGCAATTTGGTGCTGTGCTATATATATATATTGCTATATATATATATATATATATATATATATATATATATATATATATATATATATATATATATATATAAAAAAAATGTATTTAAAAAGAAAATATATATATATATATATAAAAAAAATGTATTTAAAAAGAAAATATATATATATATATATTTTCTTTTTAAATACATTTTTTTTTTTTTAAAGACACCTGGAATTTCAGGCGGGGCTCCGTTGGCAGGGCGCAGCGCCCCGCCAAGACAATGGTAGGGGAAACACTGCACGTGATGAAGCGGTTCGCTGCTGATTACTACGCACCCCCCCCCCCGTGCGGGCCGAATATTCGCTGTCGATTACTACCAAATATCCGGAGCCCGAAAAATGGTATTCGGGACATCCCTAATACCCATCCCAACACCCTATCTCTTTTCGATACGAAAGTCAAAATCAGCCATATGTTTATTCAAAACACCTTTAACATTTTAAGTGATAGTTCATTTTTTTCCACTTACATTCATCTCCTCCACAGCCATGTGTTCACTGCGCAGGACAGCCCACTCCTTCTTTGTATCCCTGCTGAGGCCCTCAGCGTCACCCAGAGAGCGCTGCAGCTTCTCCACCTCCTGCACTAGGTCCTTACCGCTCTGCAAGGAGGGAAACATCACAGACTAAGTCAGCTCAATATGTCACATGTAAACTCCTTTATTAAGCATAGCACACTTGTTGGGAAAAATATTTGGCCTTTCCTAATTTTCCTACCATTATTTAGGAAGCGAACACAGATTACACACACACACACCTTTTTAAACTTGCCTTAAATATCAAAAGAACTTCCATTTCTGTATATGTTTAAATTTGAACACTTTCAATTACCTTGTCTATTTTATTCCAAAGCCGTGATCCTATTCTGAAAGATTATATTTGCCTTGTAATACTAAATTGCCATGCAAACAGAATAATTAAGTATTTAGGCGAAGAAATCCAATCAGAATTGTGTAAAAATGTATTTGTAAATGCATTCAAAGCTCAGAAATACCATACTGCAGACATTTTAACCAAAGACATCTCACCTAAATGTCCCTGGTAATAATCATGTTTGCTTGTAGATTATAACCACACATTACGTGCTTAAGGAATCGGCTAAAAGTAGATAACTCAGGGTTCCTACAGGTTTTGCCAACTCAAATTTAAGACTTAAGACCTTATTAAGACCACTTTGAATAGAATGTAAGACCTATTTCACGGCAAGAAAGTATGAAGGAAAATTGCTATGAAAGAAATAAGTCTCATAATTACTTACAAAGTAAATGTATTCATGTTCAACATAAGAACAATGACTGAACATAACAGCCCAGAACTGTGTTAGCGTGTTAGACAAAAAGTGTGTGTGTGTTAGGGCTGTGCAATTAATCATATTTTATCGCAATTACGATTTTGGCCTGCCACAATTACAAAAACATAATCGAAAAAAACAATTATTTTGCTTTGCTAGGTTGTGACAGTGCACTAGAACATATTTGATCTAATTAATTGTAGTCAAATTTATTTATCATATTTATATATGTTTAGTAGCTTGTGGAAGTTGATCTTGTTTATTGGTATTTATTATTTTGATATTATTTATTTAAATGTACATTTTATTTTTGTATTGGTTTTTCAGTAGAATTATACGTTCAGGGTAATCAACAGTTAAAAACAAATAATAATTTGAACAGTATATTTTTAAGTTCAATAAATGGATGTTTTCAAAGTCAATGAATAATCCCTTTTTAATAATCGTGATATCAATTATTGAAAAAAATAATCGTGATTATGATTTTTGGCATAATCGAGCAGCCCTAGTGTGTGTGTGTGTGTGTGTGTGTGTGTGTGTGTGTGTGTGTGTGTGTGTGTGTGTGAGAGAGTGACAAGAGCTATATTCAGAGCTCTGCTGCCTTGGCTACAATCTTTCATCGTTGCTGTTGTATGATTGGTGTTTAACTACGGTATTTAGCGTCTACAGCACCTCCGCTTTTAGGGTTGACATGGACCAAAACGTCGCCCGGAGGTCCCCCGGTGTTGTTGCGGGAGCTGCTGCACTAGCTAACGCTACATTAGCAAAACAAACGCAAATGTATTTTGCAAAAGGTGCAGCGGGCTTCAAACACGTTCCCTCCACTGGTTTCAACCAAGCACTAAATTCGATGTTTTCCAACCAAATACGGTTGAACTTACACTTCCCCATATTTATTTGTAAGTAGATTTGAAGATACATGAGTTTCTGACTGCCGCTAGCTGAAGCTTGGTTGCTAGGTTACTAGCTGGGTGTTCTCCAATAAGGGGCCGGGGGAAACAAAGTTAGTGATTACTGGTTCCATGTTGATTTATTTCAATACAGATGGTTGGGCGGAACTGAAAGGCTATTACCGTACAGGTTACTTTGCAGCCCGGACATTTCCCCCAAAACACATTTAGACGCGATCGCAACACAGAAGTACCTTTCAAATCCCATCATTTTTAAGACCTTCTAAATCATATTTAAGACCTTTCTTCTTTTTTTGGTAATATTTAAGACCTTTTTAAGGCCTTAAATTCAGATTTATCAAATGTAAGACTTTTTAAGACCCCGCGGGAACCCTGTAACTATAACAGTTCGTGAAAAGAGAAGCTAGAAGTTGCAACTTTACGATGTTCAAATGGGACAAGACATACCATACTCTGAAGTTCCAGTGCAAATTCAGTTTTCTTCTTCAGCTCAACAGTCAGAGTTTGTAGTTTGTTCTTGTAAACACAAAAGTTAAAATACTATTTAACAAAATTGCTACAACAAAGTGCGGCTTGTAATAGTTATATGAAGAATACAAATCATATATTTCCAAATAACCCAAAATGTCTACACTTGGGGCATGTTGTCTTACCTGCAGATCCAGACACTGAAGCTCAGAGGCTTCAACAGTCTTCTTCAAGTTGGCCATTTCATTTTGCAACTCATTCTGTTAGATCACACAAACAAAATGACAGAAGGTAAATGAAAGCCCAACACCCAATCTACAGTCCAAGCATCGTATATATATATATATATATATATATATATATATATAGATAGATAGATAGATAGATAGATAGAGAGAGAGAGAGAGAGAGAGAGCTCTGTTTTCCAGCCTGAGTTTAATTTATTGTTTTGGTTGTGTGTGATTTAATTAATTTATTATAATTTAATATATGTAATTTATGTCAGTGGTCTAAAATGGTCTTACAACAGTGCCGACAATATTATCGTTTATCGCAATAATTTCCAGGAAAATGTATCGTCCAACAAAATTAATTATCGTGACAGGCCTACTTAGTAGGATTAAAAGCAGCATGAGCCTCGACCCGACGCAGTCCCCCGTTGTTGTTGTGAGTGGCGCTGCAGAGAAAATCAGCAAGATAAACGGTCTTGTCATGACGTAGCACCAATCGGGCTCTGGCCGGTGGAGACAACCGCGGCAAAAAAGGCGAGCCACTTCCGAACCAAAAGAGCAGTAGCACGGAGCTAGAACTACAACCGGCTTGATGGGAAGGGGTTTATTGCCCCTTTCCCATCAAAGCAGTTCCAGGGCTATTTCGGGGCTAGTGTCCAATTAAGCACCGGTCCTTCCCGTTTCCACCGCAGCAGGACCAGCTCTTTGTCCCGAAAACCGGTTCTTATCTGGCCCCACTGGACTGCCCGTCAAGAACCAAGAACCAAATACATCACGCTTACGTTGGAGGCGGGTGCGCTTAGCAAAGTGACTAGAATGCAAAAAATACGCCAGTAAAATGTGCCTGTAGAAAACGGCTTATGCCACAATGTGATAACGACAACAATTCAAGATAGTCAGATGAGCTTCAGTTGCTATGATAAAATCACCTGTCTAATACCAGAGAAACTTTAATAACGGCCTTGTGATGCCAGAAAGCGTAAATTCAGTCTGAAACTAATTCACTAATGGGGGATATGCAATAGTTGCTTGTGTGAATTGTGAATTACTGCTTTCCAACGGTCGGTAGATGCCGCTGAACGACATTAATAAACCATGAAGCACTGCACCCTGGGAAATAGTTTAACGTTGGAGAAGTTGTTCTTGAATTTGATCTGGCTTCTTATTATTAATCAGGGTTCTTACACCTTTTCCAAAGTCAAATTCAAGCACTTTAAGCATTTTCAAGGTGCATTTTCAAGCATCTTACAGCTGTTGTAAATTACATATTTATATACACATACTTATACTCAAATGATTATTTCCCTACCTCACATTAAATCAGATGTTCTTTATGCTATAAACAACCAAATGTGTGTTTCGTAATAGCATTCTACATGAGGATGAAAAATTAAAGAAAATAAAACTAAGTTTAATATTTCAAAATGAGTGACCCATCTGTAAGTAGACTGGGCATCCCATATAACCTGGCTGAGCAATATAAAACAATCAGCCAAATAACTTTTCAATAAATTCTTGATTAACATTTTTGAGGTACTTTTAGGTTGGCAGTAAACATAAGGCTCTCCAAGGTAAGGCCAAAGGGTGCATTATATGCACGCGTATACTGTATAAACTCAAATGTAAATTTTCCTTCACATTGAATCAGCAATCAGAAATTGTGCAAATCAAATCAACTTGAGTTGAAAAAGCAAACAAAAAACCTGCACAGAACACTGCATTGAATCATTCAAGGTAAGGCTAAATAGCACAAGGCCTATTAGGGAGTGTCTTTTAGTTCCTTGAGTTTGTCAGTTAGCTGTCTCTCTAAAGTCTCCAGATGTCTTTCCTTTTCCTTAGCAGCTCTTCGAAGGCCATTGGACTTGGAGATGAAGCTTAGTTTTCCTTGTGACTTGGCTTTTTCTGCGTTATGATCAGCAGACTACATGAGGACCCTTATGTCTTCCTCCATTCTCTTCTTTTTGGCTTTTATCCGTGTTATCTCCTCCATCATTCCTTTCCTCTTCTGTGTCTTCTTCTCATCTTGCTTTAGACGTCTTTGGTCATCAAGATGTGATACTTCTGCCTGGCAGATGCTGCAGAGAGGAGCAGCTCTTGTGTGTAGGCTATGTTGAGCAGCCCTCCAACACTGCACATGGTGCATTTCTCAAGTACATTTTTTAAATACTTGTACTTCCATTTTATGCAACTGTGTACTACTTCTACTCCACTACAATTCAGAGGTAAATGGTGTACTTTTACTCCACTACATGTATTTAATACCTTTAGTTACTTTACAGATGTGGATAAATGATGTGAAATATAATCAAGTGTTAAATCAGACTTTAGTTCCACCTGGAGTAAATTCACAAGCTACCCTGCAGTATACAAAGTCATTCAAACTAGCTGCACCTTTACCAGCTTTGAGAACACTTTCATGATCAATCATTATAAAACATATATACTATTCTGAAACGGACCAATCTGCACAATCACTACTTTTACTGTCTACTACTTTAACTATATGTTGATGCTAATACTTTTCTACTTTTACTTGAGGAAAATGTTGATTGAGGGACTTATTCTTGTAACAGAGTATTCCTACACTCTGGTACTTATTCATGTTCTTAAATGTTGTATGTGAGGGACTACGGATGGAAACTAGCTCAAAGCTAAAATCCGGCATGTTTACGTTTTTAAAGCATCATTTGTTTTAAATGTTCATCAATATGCACTGTCCCTCTTCAAATAAACGATTAAATGAAAAAAATAAATACAAATAATAATTCCAACTCTGGTAGCGTATTAGCCTGAATTGTAGCCACAAAATCAGGCAGAGCTGCATAAAAATAGACTCACAATGGTAACCAGTGGAAAATAATATTTACAAATGTGTACAATGATTTGTAGGTAATGCTGACTACTCAAGACACCGGTCTTATACATCTTCAAAAGACTGTTTCTTCTACAATTACGTGGGATTAAAGCAAAATGTAGTTTTACTTGTATAATACTACAAGACTTTATATAAAAGCCTGTTTCTAAAATGATCAACCGCGGTCAAATCCTCAGTTTATAATACAACATACTAAGAAGCTAATGTCTAATTACAACAGTGAGTGCTTCATCCTCTGAACACCACAGCATGGCGACTGTAACCATCCTGTGGTGTACTGACATAGGTACACTCTGAAATTATTGTCACCTGCATAAGCAATTATCCCTCATCGAGTTCGCTATTCAGCTTGCTAACGTTACTAGCTTAAAGTGGACCTATCATGCTATATTTAAATGATATATTGTAGGGCCATACCTATATAAAAAGGTATATTTATACGTTTCTGTTTTGAAAATACCAAACAGATCATGCATTTTAGCCATGCCTCATTTCGCTCTATTTGCTGTTCTCCAGCCCTGTTTTTGCAGGGGGCTGATTCTGTGAGCTGCAGCTGACCCCCTGCAGGAGAGGGGAGCGTGCTCTGATCAAGTCAGAAGAGGGGGAGAAAAAGAGATCTCCGTCCTCCGTGTTTTATTATAGCCTATTATATAGAGTCGTTATTCATTTGTTTTAAAGCTCAATAAATAACAAAGACCTTTGACCGGCACTTTTCTAATTTTGTCCGGAAGATTTAAACTTTAACGGATATCTTGACCGGCGAAAGAAACTGAAACTCTGCCGCACGGTCCCCTCGTTCCTTGGAAGAGGCGGAGAGGTGGGTGTTTGTTATCTGCTGGTGGACTAACCGGAGAGAATTACAGTGCTTGCCTGACGTCAGGACAGTGTTCAAATCTGGATCAGTTTTTATCAGATCCGTTGCAGCCCCTTTTTTAGAGATTTGGGTATGGAGGAAAATAGAGAGGGTTGTGTTTTCTGACACTTGGCGAGTTCCCTGGAACACCGGGGACACATATTCATGTATAAAAGATGTACAAAAGTGCATTTTGCATGATAGGTCCCCTTTAAACAAACGTAACATTCAACGTTAGCCTAATCCAAAATGCTCTACTACGGCGTACCTTTCATCTGGCTCGTCAGCGCAGACTCTCGCATCGTGAATAACTGAAAGTCTTTTTTGCAAACTTTGCAGGAGGCTATTCGTGGGCTTGACCCTCGTCTTAGCCATGGCTTGTATTTGTCTTCTGCTAGCCAACGCTCGTTGAAACGGCAACTTCCTGGCATACTGTCATCTATCACTCTCATCGGAATGCCCAGGTCACACGTAACAAAAACGCTTGCCGGTCACGCGCATAGCGCGGGAAGGCTGGAGTGGAGCTGTTTTATGTAGAAGCGAAGCAATTAAGCTCGCTCCGACTTCTTTCTTTTCTTTTAATCTAAAAAGCAAACTATTCAGTCAGACAGCAATTTATTGTAAAAGTAAAGCAGGTCTCCCTTGAAAAAGAGATCAATGATCTCAAGGGATACACCTGGGTAAATAAAGGCTTGAAATTAAAGCATTTACAATTTCAAGCACTTTGTCCCAAATCCAAGCACCATTCCCAAAATCCAAGCACTTTTCAAACCTTGAAAACACCACATTAAATTTCAAGCATTTTCAAGGATTTCCAGCACCCGCACGAACCCTGATTAATAGAACATCGACCCAACGCAGTTTTTGTGAGTAAATCAGCAACGTAAACCAGTCGGGCTCTGGGCAGTGGAAACACAACTGGAACCAGAAAAGCACAAGCTTTGAGCCTAAACTGGTAGTGGTTTGGAGGGAAAGGGGTATCTGTGGAGTCTGAATGGAATCAAATGAATTACCTCTTGGTCTTTCCTGCACTCGTCCTCTAGAGCCTTGAACTCGTCCACCTCTCTCTTCTCCTCCAGTTCCTGAGAGAGAAGTGCTTTCTCCTCCTCCAGTATTTCGATTTGCTCAATGAACATCCCCAGCTCCTGCTTCAGATAGTCCCGTTCAGCAAGCACCATGTCCTGTAAGCGTACCATTTAATACATTAAAGCAGCAGTAAGCATTTCCAAGAGCATTGCCCTAATGTTGTTTGTTTTTAACTGCTAGTATCATGCTTAACAAATTATCTGTGTGGAAAGGGTATAAAACATTTTTCGCTGTGCTTTGTGCAACATGAATATATAAAATGGTTTGTTTGATTTGAAGTTTACCTAACTTTTTTTAAGACCCAGAGGATCTTTATTGTCATTATACTCTTAAAATGAGCTTTTGCAGGCTTCCCTCTATGCAGTTAAAAATATAAACAAATAAATAAAAGCAGTGATGCAAACAGAGATAGCTGCAAAGAGAATACGAAAATTGAAGACACTGGGTAAATTAATTTGATTTTTGAGATATTCCTTCATTTAGCCTGGTCAGGAATGAACAAATCTGATATCCTTGGGAGTTTCTCCACAACCTGTATATAACATCACATACCTAAATACTGAACATTACAATTATAAATAAATCATTTTCTCAGATTTCAGTTGCAAAATAAGCCGAGCTGTAGAATGAGTTATGTCACAGCGGAGGAGCTCCATCAAGCCTTACCTTCTCTGTAGATAGGCTTTCACACAGATGGATCGTCTCGGCAAACTCTTTTTTCATCTGGAAAACAAGGTTTGAAGATTAGTTTTAAAGGCGGCTGAAAACTCCAATAAGCACCGCATCGTCCTCCATTTGGCTTAAAGACCTGTTGTTCTTTCTCAAACTGGAGAAGATCAAATGAACTCTCAGGATCTCAGTAGACCGTTTCTATAAGAAATGGCAGTGCTTTATAGACTATTTCAACAACATCCATACACTCCCAACCAAATAGTGTAAATGACCTAATGCTATTTATTTTCCTATACTTTACTTTTTTTTTAATCAACCCACGTATCTTTGTATTAACGTATACATTTACATTTTATATGTTCTTTGATAACATGGAATCAATGTGCTTCTTTGATTAAACCTATATCTCCATGGGCTTTCGAGGTGGGAGGGGATGGGTGGGGGCTTGTAATGTTTTTTACTAAGTGGTAAAAAATGAAAATGGAAGGAAGATCATTGTCACAATTGTGAACCTGTATAATTGTACCTGTCCTTCAATAAAAAAAAAAGGAGCTAAAACAACCAAGCCATGAGTATGATGGCTAGCTATGGCGTTTCTCTCATGTGTAATAATGGATTTCTCTGCTAGGCCAAAGAGGAGGTATATCTAAACACAGCATACCTGAGTGTTGCTCTGGTCCTCATTCTGACTCCCAATGTCTGCCAATCTGCCGCCCAAAATCTCCACCTGTTCCAGGGCCTTTACTTTCTGTTCGGCCTCCATCTGCAGCTCCAGCTCCAGCTGCGCTGCCCTCTGTTCTGTTGACTGTAATTTGTCGAGGGCATCTTTTTTCTGTTGGGTCTCCATCTCCAGCTGCATCATTAAGATGGAGACTCTCTCTGAAAGCTCGTGCATACGGTCTGGAGACAAAAAGTCTTTGGGGCTGAAAAATAAAAAAGGTATGACATACAGATGACTAAATGTGTTCAACAACATTTGAAAATCAAGTACCTCCCTTCAGACTGACAAAAACCAAAAGATCCATTTCACCAGCTAAACCGTACACTAAAATAGGTTTCTCAAACCATTGGTGTCTTTTTTTTACCATATTTCAGCAGAGCTGTCCAGTTTGACTGATCAGAAAAATGGTTTAAAACGTGGTGGGAGTTGGCAGATTATTTCTCATGCACTACTGTCAGGATAAAGTGACAGCTTGAGCAGATATGAAACAAAAATAAGTGTAACGAAAGTTGCCAAATGAACCGTTAAACCTCATACTTTATTAAAAGCGGCCCTATAATGCTTTTTGGGGTTTCCCTTTCAGAGTTTCCCTCATGCACACAGTTAGGTTAGTTATCAACAATGATAACTAACCTAACTGTTTTTTTTTTTTTTGTAATGCTTTAATCAGGGATGCAAACTCATCAGGTATGAAAAAGGTGACAAGGATCCGACCCCCCCGACCCCACGGAATATCGGCTTTAAAATTAGGAATAACAGAGGATTTTAGCAGTCAGAACAACTAAAGCAGTTAATAACAGAAACGCCAAAGAGTCACATCTAATAGAAATGTATAAAAGCATTTATTTGAATTGTGTAGCAGTCAGTTTATAATTTTGGCAGCACTGTTGAGCATTTTGAAAATGTATTTTCATGCCTCTGTGCAAGGCTTAGTCTTTCTATCTGTATAGCCAGTGGTGTAAAGTAACTAAGTTCATAAACTCAAGTACTATACTTGGGTACAATTTTGAGATACGTACTTTATTTAAGTATTTCAATGTGTTGCTACTTTGTTCTTCTACTCCACTACAGTTCAGAGGTAAATGGTGTACTTCTACTCCACTACATGTATTTAATAGCTTTAGTTACTTTACAGATGTGGATGAATGATGTGAAATCTAATCGAGTGTTAAATCAGACTTTAGTTCCACCTGGAGTAAATTCACAAGCTACCCTGCAGTATACAAAGTCATTCATCCCGGAGCAGCAGAGCCTTATTATACATCCATGAGCAGAGCCGACAGGCAGGAAGACTCGAGCACACAGCTCGCGCTTCATTATAATATATAAAAAGAGAACACCATGCGTGTCATGATGGCACATAACAGCTCGCGGCCGCAGATTACTCCGGGTCCCAGACCCCCCCCATACCCCAAAAATATTTTTATTGCAGATCTACATGAATCACACAAACTACCTATTTTGGATTCAAAACTGCGAATTTCGCCGAAAGGTGACAAGTTTGCATCCCTGTTTAATGGACCTGAGCCGTTATAAATAATACATTATAACAAATTATAAAAAATAAAATTGTGAATCACAAACAAAAAGTGTTAACAGGCTTTGCTACGACCAATATGTAGATTGTCTCTGCAGTTACACTTCCTTACACACACATAAATACAGCAGTGTCTCAACCCGACCTATTTTCTGCAAATGTGCAAACACTTTAAAATAGCCGAATCAATAAATTGGCATATTTTAAATAAGTCAAGCTAGTCGTTAGTTTGTTTGATATTTGGCCGTGTAATAAGCCGGATAATGTGCAGCGAGCCGGTCATTATTGGGGGGAAAAAACACAGACAGTATGATCACAGAGACCGACGTGAAGCGGAGGGATCTTGATCGGGTGTTTTTTTTTTACGTTTGAGATGTTCCCGCATCACTGTGGTGCTCCCATGTGCAAGTTTGATTTTACACACTTTTTACTGTTGTTTAAAGTGAAGTGCTCCCACGCTGTTCAAGATTTTATTCGGACCGTGCTTCTCTACGCCTCCGCCATTTTTTCGAATGTTTCCCCCCCCCCGAGTGACCTGACCAGCTCCGCAAACAGAGAGTAACAACATAGACCGAACGAATCAACGACTGAATTAGTTGGCAACTAATTTGGTCATCGATTTTAATCGATTAATTGGTCGATTAGTTGAGGACCGCATCAGAAACCTGACCAAAAATGTGTTGTTGCACCCCTAAGCACAGGCAGTATGAGAAAAATAAAAAGCTTTTTGAACATTAAAGCATGGAGACATGTCACAGTAGAGGCACTACATACTAATATGAACCTGAATATGATCATAGTGGTCTGCTGACCAGCTGCTGCTGGTAGTGCCCAAGACCAGGCTAAAAACCCGAGGGCACCGAGCCTTCGCAGCAGCTGGCCCTAGGCTCTGGAACACTCTGCCCCTCCATGTGAGGTCGGCCCAGACCCTAGGGGTTTTTAAATCAAAACTAAAAACACACTTCTCTCTGGATTTCTAGTTAGAGCGGAGCACGACTCCTGACTATTCCGTGTGTTTTATTCTTATTTTGTTTTTTAAGTTATATCTGTTGTAATTTATTGTCGTTTATTGTGTTTTGTAGTAATGTGTTTTTATTACATGTACAGCACTTTGGCTCGACCAAAAATCGCTTTTAAATGTGCTTTATAAATAAAACTTGATTTGATAGAAGAAAACAAGAGGGATATCAAGCTTCAACTCATGATAAAGTGGTCACAATTTATGCTGCGTTCACACCGGACGCGATGCGAATATTCGCTTCGCTCTAATCGCTCTTATCGCTCTTATCGCATTGCTCTAAACGCTCGAGTTTCACCGCGGCTGTCAGTTGTGTTTACTAGCATCATTCAAACAAGACGTGCTGGCTCGGGGGCTACAACTACAACAAAATGAACATATTTTACCGTGATTAAATTGTAATACACGTTTCTAAATGATGCCGAAGTAACATACTAATACCAGTTAGTAAAAACCATGAATTAATGCTTGACAAGTCTGCAGACGAGACGGCAGGCGAAAAACCTTTTAAAATGCTTGTTTTCTGAATGAAGATCGCATCGACAGGGCTAAGCTAACGTTGTATATGCTCCGTCCACACTCACAACGGCCTATATAGATATAAATAAACCAGCGACTGTATTCGCCATGACACACAGTCTGTGGTTTGTACTTGTTTAACTTTTGTCCAGTTTCTGAACAGATATGAGGAGCTGTAACTGCTAACAGCTAACGGCTGATGTTTTCTGGTTGAACGTCAGGCTGAGATCCTCACCGCTGATTGGCTACCGCGAGATCGCGTCACGCGAATAAGACTCTCGAGTTGAAAAAATTGAACTCGAGCGTTTGTCGCGGCCCCCTTCAATCGCACCGCGGAATTCGCGTCCACCGCTTCATGCTCGCCGTCGGAGGGAATTTGCATCTGTCCGCGTCTCTGCATTGACTTTACATGTAATCGCGCCGCCCCCAAACATCACATCGCGTCCGGTGTGAAGGCAGCATTACGCTGTCCTGGATGATAAGAGTAGTTACATTTGCTGTCTATCAAATAAAAAGTAATATAAGCATTAGTAGTTTTAAGACATTCACCTGTCTGCAAAGCTTCGGACAGTCACAGAAGTCTGATTCATGTCCATTTCATCTGAAGGCTCATCAGGAATCTCCCAGTGAGCATCAAAGTCCTTATCAGCTGTTGAAACATACCATGTATGTATGAAACTAATAATTTGAATTCATTTTAATCATGAATGATGATTGGAATTATGATTTGCAGAGTGCATTAACTTTTTCTTACATTCACACAGCTCACTCAGACAGGAGAGGTCGGCTTTTCTATTCCCAGTGAAAGAATCACATCGAGACGTACGGGCAAGTCCTTGCATCTTCCCTCCCCAAGTTTCTCTGCGTTTGGGCACCTGGAAAAACAGGATGAGTGTAAGCAGGACTAAGATGCTGAAGAAAAAAAAAGGTCTCCTTTGAAACCAGCGTTATTTTAAGTCATATTCACCTTTTGTACAGGAACCAGGTTTGAGCTGGTGACAAGCAATTTGGTGAGGTTTCTGATGCGGTCCTCTTGCTCTGTCTGCAGCTGATCCTTCTCTTGGAGCCTCTGGGAGAGAGATTTCTTCTCCTTGGCCGTAGTCTGTGTGACTGAAGACACCTGTAGCGAGATCACCCGTGGGTAGTTAGTAGAACGTGCATTTAAAATGGGAATTGTGGTGATAAGCACATCAAAATAAAACAAGAAAAAAAGGAAAGCTGATACTTGCCTCTTGAAGTCGACGCTTCAGGTCTTCAATTTCATTGCGATACCTTTTGAGCAGGGCCCCTTCATCGGACACCTCTGTCACATGAGGGTCGTTCTTCATTTTCTTTGCAGTGCTGGCAAACTAACACAAATAATTTTTTTGTTGAAAAATGATCTGCTTTGATTTCTCAGTCTGTTCCCTCTAATAGTCCATGTTGTAAAGTCTCATAAAAATAAAACTTTCTGGACAGGCCTTCAACTGAAAATGTGCAATGTTTAATCTTGCATAAATGTGCAGGGCAAATAAGCCAACTGTATTGCCTTTAAAAAGAAGAAAATATAACGACAAAGAATAGCCCCATGGCATAATCCTGAAACCCGCAAAGTTGAGACAATTTAAAGTGCACCTCATGCTATTTTTAGGCAATAGCCGCTTTCACACCAAGTACTTTGCCGTACTTAGTTCCCAGCACTTAGTACCCCCATGGAACTAAGAGCTGATCGCGTTCACACCGGAATAAGTTCCCCGAGGGAAGATTACGCAAATTAAGCCGGTGACGTCACTTCTTCTTCTGCTTTGGGTTTACAAACAACTTCACGGCGTATACTGCCACCTGAAGTCCCCGGCCGGAAGTCCCCGGAGTTGGGGACTGGCTTCAGTAGAAGCTGCTGGGACTCCCAGCAGCTTCTACTGAAGCCTTCCGAGTAAATCGCCAGAACCTCCTCATCACTCCACCGCTCCCATGTTTTCTTTTGTGTTGCTATAAGTTATTCTCTCTCAGTTGGTGCGCGGGGCTAATGCTAATAATGCTAATGCTAATGCCAGCAAATACAATGGCGGCTTCAAAAAACGTTTCCGAGTTTTACGGGGCGTGGTTTGCAATTCGCCCAGCCAATCAGAAATTGGAACTTTTTTCTCCCCAGGAAAGTACCACCTCTCTAGCAGGCACTAAAAAAGGGGTAAAAGTTCTCATGAACTAAGTTCTCTTTTTGGTGTGAACGCAAAATCCCAGGAACTAAATGGGAAAAGTACGGGGAAAAGTACTCCGGTGTGAAAGCGCCTAATAGCATAGGTCTCAGATATATCAGGGTATATGCAGGAATCCTGAAGTCAAATGTAATACCTTTCAAGACCTTTTTTAAGACCCTTTCCATACATTTTAAGACCTCATCGCCACTTCGAGTTTTAACCGGTTACATTGGCGACACACTTTACCTCACATTTACTATATACAGTATTGATTGTCCTTCCTCCTTATCTTCCAACCATTTGGACGCAAACTTGCATTTCCCCATAACGATGTTGTTTAACAACCGGCGTAAACGGACCTTTGCGCGCTATCAAGCAGTGAGCGTGCGATGTCCTGTTCAGATGACGTCAAATCCAACGGGATGCCATAAATAAACTACACACCTACGCAATGATTACATTCAGGCAAACTGTAGAATACAACCTCTTTGGACAATTTATATACTTATTGAAAACAAGCTACAAAATGTAATACCTTGGAAAATGCCGTTTAATAGCCTTAATTTTCGCTAAATTGATTTATCAACTTTTAATACTTTTTAAGACCCCGCAGACACCTTTTATATACAAATATATAAAAAACATGTCTATGAAGTGTTTTGCTCAAAATACCAAACCGATCACCCATTCTAGCCATGCCACATATCCCTCTATTTCGCTTCCTGTTTCAAAAGGGCTGATGTTGGGTATAAAGCTTTAAAAAAAGACCATATTACGTCCAAAACAGTCGGGCATTGTTTCTGATAGCAACTTTCTGATAGTGCCGTGGGTCCACATTTCCGATATTGCGTCATATCGGACGCAAATCCGGATCAGCTCCGTTGTACCCCCGTTTTTAGAGATTTGGGTACGGAGGAAAAGAGAGGGTTTTATTTTCTGACGCAGCACGAGTTCCCTTACACACCGGGGACACATATTTATGTATAAAAGACATCAAAAAGTGCATTTAGCATGGTAGGTCCCCTTTAAAAGGATATGGCGTTCCACTAAGCTTGAAGAATCTTGTTTAATTTAGCATGATAATCTCACTAAATATAAGAAAGCTCTCCGTAAAGCGAGAGCATCTTATTACTCAGAAGATAAGAACAATGCCAGATGTATTTGCAGCACCGAGACCAGGCTGACAGAGAGCCACAGCTTATATTCCTATAACACTCAGTACTAATGATTTCATGAGATTTTTTGATAATACAATTATAACTCTACGAAACAAAATTAATAACCTCCTGCCTTCAATCAGTTATCTTCATCTACCAGAACTTTAAGATCTGATACAACACCAGATAGTTATTTAGTCTTCTTTTCTCCCATAAACCTCAAACTACTAACTTCAATGATTGTCTCTTCTATACCATCAATTAGACCAAATTCCAACTAAGCTGTGAAATAAGTGTTTCCCTTCATTAACCCTACTTTATTAAATATGATTATAATTTCTTTATTATCAGGCAACTTACCACAATCCTTTATAAGTAGCTGCGATAAAACCTCTTCTTAAAAAGCACAACCTTGATCCAGAGGTTTTGGCCAACTATAGAGTAGACCTATTTACAATCTTTTTTTCCTCTCTAAAATCCTTGAGAAAGCAGTCCAAAACTGTTTAGTGATTACCTAAACAAAAATCTTCACATTTATTTATATATATAAATAAGTGTGACATTTATTTATATATATATAAATACATGTGTGACATTTGGCTATATAAATGAACTTTGATTGGAATGTACAATACCATTTAGTATTTCAATATAACATGTGAATAATATTGAGGTAGAAGCTTTGATGTACAGGACAGAAAACGGCATATTTGACCAACCTGCAGAGTGCTGAGGGTCTCCTCCAGAGTGACCGGAGTGATGGTGCAGATGATGACTGTTTTAGCGTTCCCGCCCAACGAGTTCTGCAGGATGCGGGTGAGCTTACTGTCCCTGTAGTTTGTGAAGCCCCTGAAGTGAGAGAATGAAATTGAGTAAATGTGAACTAAGCTCTTTATGAACATTTTAAAACTATGTTCCTTTCTTCTCCGTCTTCTTTTATGTAAACATCAATTGTTTAACTCCAAATAATAATACATTACATTTATATAGCGCTTTTCCTGGTGCTCAAAGCGCTTACAAGCAAGTAAAACAAAATAACAACAAAAGTAAAAAGTGCTTAACTAGGTGGAATAAGGGCGAGGGGTTAGTGGATTAGGAGTTGAAGGCAAGAGTGAAAAGGTGAGTTTTGAGGGATTGTTTGATGTGAGAGTGTTGGCGGATCTGACGTGGCTGGGGAGGGAGTTCCAGAGTGTGGGGGAGGCTGCAGCGAAGGCCCTGTCACCCCAGGTCCGGAGCTTTGTCCTGATGGGCTGCAGTAGGTTAGCTTCAGCAGACCTGAGGCGACGGGTGGGGGTGTGCTGTTGGATGAGGTCACAGAGGTAGGGGGGGGGGGGCAAGGTTGTAGAGGGCTTTGTAATGGCGCATTTCCACTACAGCGCGGAGCTCGCTTTAAGCGTGCTGTGCCCGGCCCGTTTTTGGTTGCGTTTCCACTTGGCGTAGTTCCGGCTAGCGGGTACTATTTCAGTTTTTCTGGCCCCATAAAATCGAGGTTCTTTCCGGGCCAACAACCAGGCTATCTATATATATATATATATATATATATCCTTTGTTTAACCAGGTAAAAAGTCTCATTGAGATTAAAATCTCTTTTTCAAGAGCGACCTGGCCGAGAGGGCAGCATGAACAAAGTTACAACAGATAAAACACAGACAATACAGGCAGACGAATACAGCGGTCGTAAAACAAAAATTAAATGCCACATTAACCAGTCAATATGCAAATAAAACAAACTATTATAAATCATTAAAAACTGGTACAATTTAAAACAACTTCGATTATGGGATATACGAGCAATCACATCGACCAATGGATTCTTGTTCTCTGTCCTTTAAGATGGACTTGAATTCCCCCATAGTGATCAAATCTGAGTTTCAGCTCCTTCTGTATATTATTCCAAGCAGAAGGGGCAGCATATTTAAAAGCTTTTTTACCCAGTTCTGTTCTCTGGTTCTCACTTTAGGAACCAGCATGTTAGCCACAATATGTTAGCCTACTTTAATCAAACAGCTAACTCAGACAGAGAGCAGTAGGATGGCGATATTCTGATATTAGAGATAACAACACAGACAGTTATTGAATTGGAAATGTAAACAGGTAAACCAGAAATGTTCAGTTATGTAATCATGTTAACTTACTTCTGGCCTTCATCAGTCAGCTTCTTGATCACGTGGCCCAGTGTGAACAGGCTGCGGTTGATATTGCAACCTTCTTTGAAGCGTGTGCCTAAAAGATAAAAAAGAGATGGTTTATTTTGGGTTTGCTGATCACACAGTACACTTACAATTATCATCAGATCTATTTTGCATTTCACAAGGCTTTAAATCAGTAACTTTATATGATTTATGGATTTAACTCCACCTTACCTTCAGCTCCTGTTTGACTGGCTCTCTCAGATCCAGCTAGATCGACTAAATTCTAGAAGATAAGCAAAATGGCTATTCAAAAAAGAATAATAAACAGACAATGAGGAAGACAATTAACAGAAAGAAAGAACACTTTCCAATAAAAAAAATAGCTCCTTACCAAATGAGACACAATAATGGCTCCATCAGCATTTTCACCAGATGCTGGGTCACTCCTTTCTCTGCTTTCCAGGATCTAAGAAGACATAAATCATGAAAAACCCAGAGTTCCCCAGAAATCAACATGTACCTAATGTTGTGGTGTTACTCACCATTCGGAAAATTGCGTGTGATCGACTGCTCCTCTCATTCATTTTTGTCTTTCCATAGTGACGGTTCTCTGCAGAGGAAGAGAGCAGAAATCAAATGGTTGTTAGACACAATGCAGATCCTGAAGAAACCAGTCTTGTGTTCAGTCATCTCAGATCTTACTTTCTCCTTTCCGGATCCAGGCCAGGACTTGTGCAAGAGATGTGACCAGTTCCTCCCTCAGGTCAGCCACATAGATGGTTTTCTGCACAATTAAAAAAAGACACAAGCACAATGATCATTTAAAGAGAAAGAAAATGATGTCCATGCCTTTAGCACTCATAGACATGAAGTGTCATACTATAATGATGGAGGTCGGTGTGTGTTACTGAGGGAGTGTAGTAGTACCGCGTCTGAAATTAATTGAATCAGAGGATCTGGAGAAAACTGTGCAGGGCTCGAGCTTAAGGACGTCCCGAAAAAAATCGGGTCGGGGAGGATACAAATTAATTTTGGGACGAGAGTTAAAATAAAAATACCCTGCTAACTCTACTACGAACGGCGATGAAAATGAAACTGACTGCACGTTTTGTGTAGCACACAGTTATTAAACCTCCTTGTCAACATAAACACACACAAAGCATTTAGCAACCCGCGAAATACACACACAGTACGTAGCTACAGCTGTCAGCCAGCCGCACAGCTGTGATGTAACTACCATTTTTTTACCACGGAGCGGTGCGGAGAAACAAAACTTAACTTATGAAGCAGCATTTGACGGCGCGCTATGCATGGGGCACCCTAGAGGGGGTTTCCAGACATGTCATTGCAGCTGAGATGAGAACTCTCCATCGTATTTAGTCCTTAGCAATATGCTGCGCCTCTCCCCATGTAGGGATGGGTACCGAGCCCCGGTATTAAACGGGCCCCGGGCCGGAATTATTAAAGACAGTGGTACCAACAGTGGTCTTTTTATCGGTACTGGAGACATTTAAAACATATATGTCATATGTATTACTGCTACATGAACATTATATCGCAGTTTTAGTTTCGCCAACTCCGTTTCTAATATGCAATAAGACTACAAAATCTTATTTTCGATCTTTCCAATCCAGACGAGAGAGCTCTCTCCCCCGTCTGTGTGCGAGGGGGCGGGGCAGTTTGTAAAGGTCTCCTGACTGTGTTACAGACTGTCATCCTGGTTAGTGGTTACTCTGGGTTCTGTCTTCTGTCTTCAGGACAGAGTGTTGGATTTTTTTGTTAATCGGATGGGACTTGATTGGATTCAATATCAGAGTAACTTTCTCGCTTGTGTGTTTTTTAAAAATATATTTGGCCTTTGTTTATGTGTTTGACTGATTTACTCAAATAAAAAGGTTGATGAATTATCATCTAATGATTTGTATGATGTTTTATTTATGTTAAAGGTCACTTTGAATGATTTTAACTAATGATAATGTAGAAAAACAAATATTTTAAATTCGGGACGGTCCACATTAATTTCGGGACGGCTTAGATTGTATTTCGGGACGGTTCCGGGAGGATGGTAAAAAAAGTTAGTCGAGAGCCCTGCTGTGTGTGCCCAGAACTTTGGTTAGCGCATATGCTCATTAAAATCAGTTAAAACAGCACTCACACAGTCATATAATGTTACAAAGAACGGCTTTACGTCTGAAACACAGGAAAAATTGCCTCCTTTTTTGTTGCCAGATTTTTCTGCCGAAGTTAGAAGGCCAAATTTAGTATTAAAATGTGTCAGAAACATTTGATGAAAACATCATATGCAAACTTCTAATGGCGCATTTCCACCACACGGTCGGCCTCGGCCTCGCTCGGTACTGCTAGGCCGCGTTGGGCCTTGTTAGGGCCGGCTCACTTCATGCTGCGCTTCCATTACAGTTTAGGAACTGGGGTAGTTACTATAGTAACCCAGTGTAGGCGGAGCCGTGACGTCATCTTCAATGAGAACCCCAGAAAAACAATACAGCCGTTAGCTGTTAGCACTCAAGCTCACAGCTCCTCATATCTGTTCAGAAATTAGACAAAAGTTAAACAAGTACAAACCACAGACTGCCTGTGTTATGGCGAATACAGTCGCTGCTTTATTTATGTCTGTATAGGCCGTTGTTGTGAGTGTGGACGGTCGGAGCATATATTGAGTTAGCTTAGCCAATCTCCATCTAGAAAACACGCATTTTAAAAAGGTTTTTCACCTGCCGTCTGTCTGCAAACTTGCCAAAGCATTAATTCATGGTTTTTACTAACCGGTATCAGTATGTTGTTACTTCGGCATCATTTTGAAACGTGTATTACAATTAAATCACGGTCAAATATGTTCATCTTGTTGTAGTTGTAGCCTCCTTGCCAGTGATTCTCTCTCTAGTTTAGCATACTCAGCCCTGTTTGTTGGCCCCGATAGAACCACGATTTTGTCGGGCCAGAAAAGAGGTGAAAAAGTACCCCCGGGCCGGAACTAGGCCTAGTGGAAGCGCAACCAAAAACGGGCCCGGCACGACACTGCACGCTTAAACCGCGCTCCGCGCCATGGTGGAAATGCCCCATAAATAGACCACTTACATTTATTGTCTCTCGGACTTCCAGAGGTTGTCTCTTCCAGCTATCAATGAGCAGATCACTCACAGTCTCGTTGTAGATTTCCATGTAAGAAACCCGAAGAAGGAACTCCTTCTTTGGACACTTTTGGACAAAAGAGAAGTTGTTAAAAAACACAGTAATTGCTTACTAAAAAAGTTATTTCAAAATATGCGATACAATTCTTACACTTTTAATGGTTTGGAAGACATCTTCCACAGCCAGCGGTATCACTCCAGGAAAACGGTCACTCCCCAACATAGTGAAAGTCTTTCCGGAAGCAGTCTGTCCATAAGCAAATATGGTACCTGTGGATCAAACAGAGAAAATATGTATCCAAAAAACAAACAACTGCAGTGAGTGTTTGGAGCAACACAACAGATGTCACAGTATTCAGTTTTGAAAACATACCATTGTATCCCTGAACAGAGGAAACAACAAGAGGTTTAGCAATGGCTTGGTACAGCTGATTGGTCGTTTCTTCTGCAGTAAACACTCGATCTATGAACAGAGAAGGAAGGTTAATGTACAGTAGTAGTTGTTAAGTTCTATGCAAAATATCTCAAAGGAGCCACAAAATCCAGTCAAACATATTTCTCAATCCTGTACATGCTGCAAAACTAACCAAAACTAAAGCTTTTACTGGAATTCCCATCATCGACCTGATAAATTGATTTTGCATCAGCTTTCCAAAAATAATGGACCGGCTCTGCATTCTCCGATGCAGCACTGTCTTCCCTGTAACAAAGACACACAATCAGGACATATGTGGAAACATTAACAGACTCTTCCTTTAACATTGTCAGGTGACACATTTAGTGGGAAAGAAATTGTGGCTGAAATACTACTTTCGAAGCTCAGCTTAATCAAAATGTAATATTTAGAAGAGAAGTATAATATTCCTTATGACTACAATACCATGCCATGAAAAGTCAAAGCCTAATATCAACACGGACCAGGGTTTTGATTCTCAAAAGTATTGTGGAAAATAGGCTACATATAATTAAGATCATTTTGGGGGGAAATTATAGCTAGATTGATTGATTGATAGATAGATAGTTTCAGTACAATAGCATCATTCCAAAGTATATAGAACAAAGAATAACAGTTATTGTAGAGCAATTGCTAGACAGTTAGTTTGACCTACAACAGACGGTGTTTTTAGCTCTTAATATGCTTATAAGGATATATAATTTAACATTTTAAAATATAAATTAAGTTATACGTTTTACTTGCCAAAAAATCCCAAGTATTATTTGTGACAGTAAATGCAGATAATAAAGTGAATGTTACCTCTAAAAGTCTAAGTTAACAATTACTTTAAGGCACGTAATACGTATTTACTGGAACAAAATACTTGTATTTTACGTCCAACTGTAGCTAACATCATTAGCATGCATTAGCATTAACGCTCCGTAAGCTACAGTTAGCTCCAAACTTGTATTTTATTAATGCTAACTTAGCTGTTGGCGGCAGACTTACCTTGGAATAAGTGGACGGACCCGAACACATACTTTTACAGCCGACTCCTCTGCCATTGTTCTTTGTAATAGTAGGCTAAGTGACCTATCCAACCTTAAGGAAGGCAAACTAATATAGCCTATCTCTCATAAACGCCAAAAAAATACCTGAAGACGCATAAACGGACACGGCCTCCCTCAGTTTCAAAAGAAAACCGTCACTGGTTTTAAAATCTCCCACTTTGTTTTGATTGGTCAATGTTACGTGCCGTAGTGTGTGTGTGTGTGTGTGCGTGTGTGTGTGCGTGTGCGTGTGCGTGTGCGTGTGCGTGTGCGTGTGCGTGTGCGTGTGCGTGTGTGTGTCTTTCTCTCTCTCCCTCTGATTCTCCAGGTGCAGCCTGATTGTCCCCAGGTGCAGCCTCTCCCCAGGTGCTCCTAATTCCCAATCAGGGCCTCCATATAGGACCGGAGGAAGACTACAGTGGGCCCCATTTGCCTCCTCTGGCTGCATGCGTACAGCCCGTGTTCCTTTTCTTTGACTATTAAAAGGCTTGTTCGTGACTCCAAAGAACGGTTTCCTCTTTTTTTTCTCGTGCCTGGTCAACGTGGTGTTTTGTTACTTCCCTTGGTACCCCTAGATTTAGAGGGAACGTAACAAATGGGGGCTCGTCTGATCTTTGAGACAAAGAGCAGTGTTGTAGTCAAGTCACCAATTCACGAGTCCAAGTCACTCTCGAGTCACCACTCTTCGAGTCCGAGTCCAAGTCAAGAGTCACCAAGGGAGAGTCGTAGTCGAGTCCAAGTCCGAGTCACCCAAGGAGTGTCCGAGTCGAGTCCGAGTCCGAGTCATCATTACCTGTGTTCGAGTCCGAGTCCAAGTCCGAGTCACCCAAGGAGTGTCCGAGTCGAGTCCGAGTCCAGTCATCATTACCTGTGTTCGAGTCCGAGTCCAAGTCCGAGTCACCTAAGAAGAGTCCAAGTCAAGTCCGAGTCACAAGTCTTCATGTATTAATCTTCGTGGATATATGTGTTGAAATGTAGCTGCTCCTCTACATTGCTTTTATCCTGTCATGTTATACTAATCTGTCTATTGAACTGCTGTGAAGCCAGTTTGGCTACAATTCTTGTAATAGGTGCTATACAAATATAAAGCCTATTACTAATATTAATATTATTATTATTATATATAAATAAACTATGTTTAAAATGAGTTACCTTTTAGAGAAGTGATTATATTTGTATGCCAATATTTTCCTATGGTAAAGTTTTCGTTTTGCACTTTTATTTTGATAGTAATAAGATCGGGACTCTTATTTTGAAGGAACTTTTACCGGTTAAATCGGTTTACTGATAAAGATTTAGCCCCAGAAAGCACATGGCTACTTAGCATGCAAAATGACGTCATTCTGCATGTTAAGTAGCCATATGCTTTCGTGTTATCGGCTGAATCTTTATTTATTGATTAGATCACGTTACTCTGATGATAGTGTTCAAGACAGCCTATATGTCTGAACTCGATGTTTAGAGTAATGTGTTACGGAGCCTTCTCTTCGATATTGTTTCCACATAGAGCATTTTGCGCTGCTCTTTTCCAATGTGGAAGCAGAATGTGTGAAAGCATACAGCACGATGCGGGGTGTGTCTCTAGACATCTTTAGACTGGAATAGCGGGGCCCAGTCATAGACTGTATATATAAAAGACAAAAAAAATGTTTACATTTTAAGACAGTGAAGTGTTACAATATACTGCTGAACAAGCAGACCTCTCCACATTTTGTGAGCGCTTCATACCAATTTAATTTGAAAAGGGTGTAAAATGTTATAAAAATATTTACCTGAGATTTTTAAATCCTTCAAATATTGCTATTGGTCTAAAAAAATCCACTTTGGATACCTCACTTTGTATCTCCAGACAACCACAGGTTAAGACCTAAAAGTCTTTGCTGATTTCTGATATCCGGGTTTTTTCCTCCACTCACTGTAGCGATTTGACATTCACGGCAGTGGTTTATTGATCTGTAAAGTGCATATCTACACAGAGAATATGGCTAATACGGTTTAAATGAAGTATGTATTGAAGGTTATAGGAATAATCCCTTTTCCTGAATATATCTTGTAAATAAAAACGCAAATCTGATAAACGTTGATGTCGTAAACTGTACGAATCTGAAGCCTGTTAAATAAAGGAGCAGATGAGATATGGGACTTGGATCTTGTTGCAATCCTTGGAAAAGTAGTTGGGAAAAGTACTGCCCATACTGTGTTACAATATGAAAGGTATGGATGAATTAGACTATAATAAAGAGTAAGAAGACAGTTCTTACTCACTGTCCTTATTATACCAGTTGGTCTATTCATTTGATATGATTTGTTTTGTCTATGGATTTTAGGCATTTCAGTGAAAAGTCTTCCTGACACTCCTGTGACTGGAAGAGAAGGACTGGAGGAAACAGGAGGAGGAGAAGAGAAAACGGAGACAGAAAACATCGCACCAGAACAAACCGCGGAAAAGACTCCTGCTCCAACCGGGTTCACGGTCCTGGGAGGATTTGACAACAAACCTGTCCAAAAGGTACACACACGTGTTTCTTATGCTATTACATTCAAAGATTCAATATGCACAGTAGCTACAGTGTAGATATGGCAATGATGATCTTAAGTCCCAAGCTCCTCCAACAATGCAACATAAATATATATAAAACAAATGAAAAAAATGCAAGAAGAAACTGAGTAGAATCAAATATAGCAGATGATGTTGCGAGACCAATGTGCAAGTAATGCAGATGAAGTTAACTTTATACATGTCAGAAAAAGAAATAAATACAACAAGCTAAATAATGCAGAGAATGTTGTAAGTCACCAAGTAAATGCAGGAGTCTGTATAATACACATGTTCATAGAATTAGATAGACGAGAACAGAATGTAACATTAAATATTATACAGTGAAATCAAATTAAATACTGTTTATTGTAGTGATAAATATTAAGATCAATTAATTGTAAGATGCAAACAGATGAATGCTTCAGGTTATGAAGGCACTGAACAGAGCTTAAGTAGTCTGATGTCCTGTGGGTTAGAACTGACCGTGTGTGTGTGTGTGTGTCTGTGTCTGTGTCTGTGTCAGGTGCACAGAGTGCTCCCTCAGTGGCTGGCTCAGCCGGATGTGATTCACAGAGACATTAAAGGACACCTGGTGAACATCTCCGAGATCCACGGACTCTCCGCTCTGCTCGTGAAGAAACTTCAGAATAATGGAATCCAGAACTTTTTCCCAGGTAATCACACAGGCTGGTTTCAGCAGCTCTATAAAAGGCTTGTAACAAATTCACATTAGCGTAAATACACTGAAAGAGTGTAAACACCTGAGAAATAACAGAATGATGATGTCACAGTCAGAGGTGGTAGAACCAGTGGCGTAGCCAGGAATGATTGTGTGGGTGGGCCTGGAGAAAAGTAGGTGGGCCAGGGGGAGACATATTAAGCGTGGGGTGTGAGCTGAAATTTCTTTAATGATTTTAATGATTTTTTAATGCACTAATTGAACATAAGCATAAATTAGCAGTGAAAACAAAAACATAGGCACGGCGGCCTCAGAATGTGTGTAAAACTGACATCCACAGGGATGGGTATCGTTAAGGTTTTAACTACTACTACTTTTATCGATAACGCTTATCGACCCGGTGCTTTAACGGTACTCTTATCGGTTCTTTTGGAGAATAAAATAAGGTAAACTAACTAAACAAATTGTGAACAAAACTAATATTGCTTTTTATTTTTATTAAATACATAATATTTCACATCAAAAGAAACAACAATGTTTTAACAAATCGTATTAAATAATGTGATGACAGAACTGTAAACAGAATAGCTGAAACTTTAACAATAAATAACTCAGTTACCTCTAATCATTAACCCATGTTTGTATCATTGAGTTAGCTCCATGTGTTGCTGCTAGCACACATAATACCTGACGTGGAAACGTTACTCGTGGATGGGGCTACAGAGCTACTAGAAAGACAGTCGAACCCGGTGCATTTCTCCGTCTGAATGTGGTGCACTTTTGCTAAATGTTTAGACAAATTGCTCGTGTTACCGCCCTGACATGCTAAACTCTTATTGCACTTTTGGTAACGAGCGAGACGGGTAACATTTAACCACACCTCGGAGCGCGTTCTCTCCGCCATCTCCTCCGTGTGTGTGTGTTGCTGCATGTAGCACCTGTGTGTGTGTAAACTGCCCCGCCCCCTCGCACACAGACGAGGAGAGAGATCTCTCGTCTGGATTGGAAAGATCGAAAATACTAAAAATAATCATAGACGCATTTTGCAGTCTTTTTGCATCTTAGAAACGGAGTTGGCGACACTAAAACTACAATGTAATGTTTGTGTAGCAATAATACACATGACATATATTTTTTACATGTCTCCAGTAGTGATAAAAAGACCGATAACGTCGGTGCTTAATGGTACCAAGGTCTTCTTTAATAATTCAGCCCTGGGGCTCGGTACCCATCCCTACACATGACTGGCTCGGCGGCCACAGGTTGGTTATCCTTGACAGTCGCACAGTGGGCACACACTTGAGAGTCTTTTCATATAATTCAGCACATGTGTACACGCTTCACTGCAGACCTCAAGAAGAAATAAAACTTACTTTACTTACTAATTTACTCAAGGTAAAAAAATGCACTCCCTATTCCATTGTCATGAAGGTGGAATCTAACTATATCCAGAATAAGTTTGATTGGATCCAGGCTAGAAACATGTTTATTTCTGCTGTAAAGTTGGGCATTTTAACATGGGGGTCGATGGGGATGGATCCTTTCTGCATCCATCCCCTGTTGGCCACTAGAGGAACTGCAGTTTGTGGCACTTCCTTCTGGGCTTCCTGGCTCTGCGCTATGAAGCGCTGATTGGCTGTGGGTGGGCCAGACGTGCATGTGGGTGGGCCCGGGCCCACCCACAGCTACGCCACTGGGTAGAACTACTCAGATATTGTACTTGAGTAAAAGTAGAAGTACCAGAGTGTGGGAATACTCTGTTACAAGTAAAAGTCCTGCATTCAAAATGTTACTCAAGTAAAAGTACCAAAGTATTAGCATCCAAATATACTTAAAGTACCAAAAGTAAGAGTAGTCATTGTGCAGATTGGTGCATTTCAGAATCATATACAGTGAAGGAAATAATTATTTGATCCCTTGCCGATTTTGTAAGTTTACCCACTTACAAATAAATGAACAGTCTATAATTGCAATGGTAGGTTTATTTTACTAATGAGATACAGAATATCAAAAAGAATATCCAGAAATTGACCTTTTATAAAAGATAACAATTTATTTGTGGGAAATAAGTATTTGATCCCCTGGCAACAAACAAGAATTCTGGCTCCCACAGACGGTTACATAAGTCCTCTTCCTTTAAAAAAGTACTCCTAATATCAACTTGTTACCTGTATAAAAGACACCTGTCCACAGAATCAATCAATCAGATTCCAACCTCTCCACCACGGGCAAGACTAAAGAGCTGTCTAAGGACCTCAGGGACAAGACTGTAGACCTGCACAAGGCTGGGACTGGCTACAAGACCACCAGAAAGCAGCTTGGTGAGAAGGAGACAACTGTTGGTGCCATTATTCAGAAGAATAATGTGTGTTTCTAAATGGAAGTAACATAAAATGAGCATCAGTCGCCCTCGGTCTGGGGCTCCACACAAGATCTCGCCCCGTGGGGTATTGATGATCATGAGAAAGGTGAGGGATCAGCCAAGAACTACACAGGAGGAACTTGTTAATGATCTCAAGGCAGCTGGGACCACAGTCACCAAGAAAACTATTTGTAACACACTACACCATAATGGATCAAATCCTGCAGCGCCTGAAGCCCCCCCCGCTCAAGAAGAACATGAAAGCCCTTCTGAAGATTGACAATGAACATCTGAATGATTCAGAGAAGGCTTGGGAGAAGATGATGTGGTCAGATGAGACCAACATCGAGATCTTTGGCATCAACTCGCATGGAGGTAGAAACATTCTGCTTTGGGGGTGTTTCTCAAGTAAAGTACAATATCTCAAAATTGTACTTGAGTACAGTAAATTAACTGATTCATTCCACCTCCGGTCACAGTGCAGGCAGAGGTGATCCCGGCCGTCCTGGAGAGCGCTCAGCAGGGGCTTCTGATTGGACGAGGGGGCTACAAGCCCAGAGACATCTGTGTGTCTGCTCCTACAGGCAGCGGCAAGACGCTGGCGTTCGTCATACCTGTCATCCAGGTGAGCTTCTGACACTCATACAATATAACCACTACTCTGTGTGGCCTCCATATGAAGTAGATTTGGTTTGCAGAAAAACGACAAGGGATCCATTATGACACGCATTCTAAAACAACACAGACCACAGGCAAATCTCAATGTCCAAATCTTTCCACACTGGTTGCCCAAAAAATATCTTTAAAAAAAGTAATTTTCTAGATAGTTAGGTACTTTATTGATCCTAAATCGGGAAATGATTCTGTTACAGCAGCAGTGTGTTAAGGCAATAACATATTTAAAAGGTGGAATAAAGAACAAACATAATAAAAACAAAACAATAAACAGCAAATATAAATATATCAAGTGGAGGAGACACACATAATACACAATATCAAATATTCCGGATGAATTAGGATGTTCTTTAGAAGACCAAAATACTGCAGCAACAGAAATAAAGACATATACTACAGGAGCAGAAACACATATAGGAGAGTATATAAACGACCAATGTGTTCCTTAGGTTCTGATGGAGCGGGTGGTGTGTGAAGTCCGTGCTCTGGCCGTGTTGCCGACCAAAGAGCTCGCCCAGCAGGTCAGAACCTTTCAAAATAAAAGCATGACAGTATCCAGTGATGTCTCCAGTTGACTAATGTTCTGCTGTCCAGGTGTGCAAAGTGTTTGCGTCGTACGCTGAGGGGACCTCTCTGAAAGTGGTGATGCTGGCCGGACAGAAGTCCTTCGCTGCAGAGCAGAGCTGCCTGTCGGAGCTCAGGTGAGAACAGCGGCATTAGAACAGGCTGCACCACTACTCTGGGATTTTGTGAAAACAGAACATTTATGAATTTATTCTGGATAACGGTAAAAGCACTGAATTCCCATTGCTTGGATAATCATGAATAACCTTTATTTTTGTATTTAACCTTTATTTAACCAGATAAAAAGCATTGAGATAAAATCTCATTTACAATGCTGACCTGGCCAAGAAGGCAGCAACGTTACACATTATTACACATAGACATATAACACAGACATATAAAATACAGAGAACACAACTAAGTAAACAAAAAGACGAAAAGCAGTCACTACATTTGGGACAGTAAGGTACACTACTTATTAGTGCAACAGCAGCTGGTGGTAAGGACCTCAGACAACTTCAATTTAAAACATGCTATTGAGACAAGTGCCCTCAGTTTTAGGCTTGATTGAAGGTCATTCCAAGACCAAGGACCATAATAAAATAGAGTAGAGTGTGCAGCCTCAGTCCGCACAGCAGGTACCTGGAACCGTATCCAGGCACTGGATCTGAGGTTGTAAGAGTCACAAACTGGGGCAAATCTGACACATATGTAGAGTGGAAGCTTACCTAAAATGGCTTTATACATTCATAAAAACCAATGCTGCATCCTACGCATAGTAAATGAGGACCATCCAGTTAGGCTATACAGTGTGCAATGATGAGTCCTATAGGGTGCATTTGATATATAACGCAGTGTAGCATGGTAGAGTGGGTCAAGTTTGGCCAAAACAGTGGGACAGGCAAATCTATAAATTGTATCACAGTAGTCCAGCTGGGACAGCAATAAGCCAGAGACCAACCTTTTACGGGATGAAGTTGAAAAACAACATTTAAGTCTGAAAAGGAAGCCAAGAGGGAATTTCAATTTCTTTGTTAGAACTTCAATATGGTGTTTGAAGTTCAGATTACTGTCCCAGATATTTGTAGGTATCGACAAACTCAACAGAGACGCCATCAAGGGTGTCAATGGAGAGGCAAGAGGACGCTGACTTGGGAGCAAAAAGTTAGCCTAGCTTAGCATTAAGACTATCCTGGCCATCCTAGCTTTATCCAAAGTTCAAACATAGTTCAAACAACATTCTTACTCATTAAAAAATAATATTTTTTACAAATGAGATACATAAAGAGTTAATTATTTTTAGGTGTTGAAAGGTGTAGTTTTTAACTTTGGACAGCTTCGGGCAAGCTGTTTTTCTCTGCTTCAATTTTGTATGCTAAGCTAAGCTAACTACATACTGACTCCACCGCTGTACTGAGTTTTTTTCAAAACAAAGTTACATTTACATTCAGTGCTTCTCAAAATGTTTGATTTGTATGTAGAGTAAAGGTCTAACGTGTCAAATGTAATCTTCTTTTTAAATCCTGTATTCTTTACATCTAGATTTACTACTGTCTTATTATTCCATGTCTTTGGCCAGGGTTGGAAGGGTTACTTTAAACATTTGTTACAATTACTAGTTACCTGTAAAAAAAAATGTAATCAGAAACCTTATCTGAGTATCATAATATAAAAGTAAAGTAACCTGATTACTTTCCGTTACTTTTGATTTACCTAGAATATCACATGCAATGCAAAGAAACACAAAATAATAGAAATATCAATAAGGAGTTTTTGTGTGTAGCGACAAAACTCCCATTGAACAGTCACTCGAGGATAAGGTAGGCTCATCCCTTTGACACGTTGACCATTAAATACAAATGTGTGCAAATTAAATTAACAACAATAATGGAAATAATGAACTCGGGTTAAATGAGCATTTTGGCTCCTACAATGTGTATGTAACAATGTAACCTTAGAAAAGAAGCCAAGATATTTACTATCAGAAATGTGTCCCCTTATAGGATAAGTATAGTTAAGAAATGCTGATTCATTTTAATACTTTAATTAAACACAGTGTTATTGTGTAATACATCAGGTGTTCACTAACTGCATATGAAAAAATATATTTAAAATAAAGAAGAATAAAAGCAGCCTTAAATGAAAACCAAAAGGTCTACCTGTAATATAGTCATTTTAATTTTAAAATGTATTGTAACGATATAATCCTGCTTGTAATCCCCTTTTTTCTTTTTTAAATGTAACAGTAATCTGATTACTTCTTTTTTTTATGTAACTGTAGGAATACAGCTACTTTTTTGTGTGTCCTGATTATGTAATCCATTAGTCCCCAATCCTGTCTTTGGCTGGTGCATCGCTGCGTTTCATACTGATCAGTGGAATAATGTTCAGTTCAACATCTCCCCCCCCCCCCCCCCCCCCCCCCCCTCTCAGTCTGTCCCCCCCCCAGATGCCGCTGCAGAAGCTGCTGTTCTCTGCCACGCTCACACAGAACCCAGAGAAGCTGCAGCAGCTGGGCCTCCACCAGCCCCGACTCTTCAGCTCCATCCACAGCCAGTCCAGCACCATCAGCACCCCCGGCAGCATGGCAGACCCCCCCCACACACAGGGCTGCTTCAACTTCCCCCAAGGTCTCACGGTAAGATGCTAACCCCTGACTTTCAGGAGGCATACATGCAGTGCTGGAATGTAACTAAGTATATTTATTCAAGAACTTACTCGATTATATTAATCGTACAGCTTTAGTTTCTTAAAAAAATTAAGTGTTTGCTCACAAAGCATATGAAAAGTTTATAAAATAAGAAATGTTATAAATTAAACTACAATTTACAGTAAAGGCCTATATGTACCGCTGAAATAAAAACAATAGGTGATTATTCAATATACTGATTGAAAGATTGTCATTTTTCATTAAAAAAAATCTACTTTTTTTCTGCATCAAGTAAATGGTAAATGGACTGTACTTATATAGCGCTTTATCCAGTCTTTACGACCCCTCAAAGCGCTTTACATACTACATGTCATTCACCCATTCACACCCATTCATACAGAGCAGTGTACCTTACTCTAGGAACTAACATTCATACACATTCACACACCGTTGGCCATGCCATCGGGAGCAACTCAGGGTTTGCTCACCTCACACCCATTCATACAGAGCAGTGTACCTTACTCTATGAACTAGCTGTGCGATTATGGCAAAAATCATAATCACGATTATTTTTGGTCAATAATTGATATCACGATTATTAAATACGATTATTCATTGACTTTGAAAACATCCATTTATTGAACTTTTAAATACAAATAATAATTTGAACAGTATCTTTTTAACTGTTGATTTCCCTGAGCGTATAATTCAACTGAAAAACCAATACAAAAATAAATAAAATAAATGATACATTTATATCTACATTTAAATAAATAATATCAAAATAATAAATACCAATAAACAAGATCAACAAATATTTTGGAGCGCACTTCAACAAGCTACTAAACATATAACAACTCAGGGTTAAGTATCTTGCACAAGGATACATCGACATGTTGACTGCACGGGCTGGGATCGAACCCACAACCTTCTGGTTGAAAGACGATCGCACTCCCTCGCAGCCACAGTCGCCCTAAAAGTACTTTTCATTTGAATAATTTTAGTCCATAAAATACAACAATATACTTTGATTGAAGTAGCATTTATATGCAGGACTTTTGCTTGTAAAAATGTATTAACATTGTGGTTTTAGTACTGGTGCTTAAATGGATTGCATTTCTATACCACCTTTCCGGTCTTTGTAACCACTGAAACAACTTTTACAAGTCAGCAATCATCCATTCACACAGAATGCAGATAAGAATCAGAATCAGGTTTATTGCCAAGTAGGTTTACACATACGAGGAGTTTGTCTTGGTGTACATGGTGCATACATAAACACAGTCAAAGAAGATACAAAGTAACAAAACAGCCCAAAAATGTAATCAATTATAAAAACAAAAAAAAACTATTATAACCCTAACGGACCGTCCCACACAGCAGCGTTAAAAAATCTTGAAACGCTTCTGCCCTTTCACTTTGAATGGGGTGACGTCACTTTGCCTCACTTTTCGCCGAACTGCATTGTGGGCAATAGAGCGGAGATTTTCAGGATTTTCAGGATTCAAAGTTGAGCAATGTTCAACTTTTGAGGCTGAGGTGGAAGCGTCAGCCAATCAAATCCCGTGTACGCAAATCTGACAGTTCAAGCGCTAGCCAATCAAACCGCGTGTATGCTGGGAGAGACATACCGCACGTCATTTCCTCATATTCCAAAAAATGGAGGAGAAATTAGCGGTAGGGAATCACCCGGTGCTTTATGACCAGACCCTATTTACCTACCGGGATATAAACCGGAGGAGCCAGGCATGGAGGGAGGTGGCAGAGACAGTGGTAGGTTTTCGCCTGTTTGGGGAGTTTATATCCAGTTTACTTCGGGCTTTTTTGCTTCGGGCTTTTTTGCTTCGTGTCGCGGGCGGGAGATTCATGTGATTGGTTGTTGGTGCCTTGCTCGCAAAAAATCCCCAAGCTTCAGATACGCCCACCTCCAAGATTTTTTTAACGCTGCTGTGTGGACGGGCCGTAAGATAAAAAAAAAGTATTACAAAAACTACGTACAGTATACTATGATAAAATGCTCAGAATAATCAAATATATGGAAAGTGGAAAGCTGTGTAGATACTAAGAGAGGTAGCTTTTGTACAAATGTGCAAATATTCAGAGGGTTGTGCAGAACTGGCAATACTTAAATGAGATAAATACAATGTAATGCATACAGTCTATAAAGCAGCTGAAGGCAAGTGTGAGTGGGGGTCCCGGGACTTGTTAATGAAAACGTATTCCAGTCCTGCACACATGTGAAGCTGGGTCCTGTGGCGTGAGACAGGGATGTAAAGATTCTGTCAGACACGGCTCACTTTTTGAATGACTGCACGTTTGTGTTTTCAGGAGTATTACGTTCCCTGTACGTTAAGCAAGAAGCCTCTTCTCATCCTCCACTTCATCCTGCGCATGAAGCTCAGCCCCATCCTCTGCTTCACCAACTCCAGGGAGGCAGCACACAGGTGGGAGAGAGCCTCGCCGCGTAAACACATTACATCCTTCTTGCAAAGTGCTGCAAACCCTATCAGCTGACTGTTTGCTCCTCTCCAGGCTGTTTCTGCTGGTGCAGCTCTTTGGTGGCGTTCAGGCGGCCGAGTTCTCCTCCAGACTGTCTCCTGCTGAGAGGAAGAAGACGCTGAAGGAGTTTGAACAAGGAAAGATCCAACTGTGAGTGTGCTTTGTATAAACACATTTGTGTCGGAGAATATGTGACGACTCAGACACACCGTAATTATTTATTGACAAGTTATAACACACATAAATACACACTACTCATTGACAGTCTTTCTTTTTCCTTGTACACTGTCCATTTTCCCCAGCGTTGTTCAGATATCTCTGCTTTAGTCCTTAGACAGTAGGTCTGTTTTTCCATAGTAAATATTTATTCTACAATGTCCAGCCACTGACCCGGTCCATGAGGGTCACTTTTTAACCAGTTCCTTTTAATGGCCTTTTTTACCCGCAAGTATCAGGACTTTTAAAAACATAGAGGTCTTCCTTTCTAATTATAATCTGGAATTAAGCCCAGGTACATAACCCTTGGGTCACAGGGAGTCTTATAAATTCACTTTTCTTCCAGAATCGGAATAGCCCTGGTCCAAAATGCCTGACCAGAAGATGTGCGAGTGATATTCAACTGTCCACATTGTCTCCAACAGCACTGCTTTCTTCCCAAATGTTTATTTTTAATGTTTGGTGTCATTTTTCCATCCATATTCCTTCCATCTTTTGGAGCTAGTTGAAGTCAAATGGATTTTCAGCATATAATGCCAATCCAACTCAGCAGGATGGACATTATATATATCTCTCTACTGTACATCTGTCTAAAGGCAAAGGTGGGAAGTAGTGGAGTACAAATACTTCGTTACTGCACTTAAGTACATGTTTCTGGTATCAGTACTTTACTCCACTACTTATTTTTCTGACGACTTTTTACTTTTACTTCTTACATTTTGAACACAAATACCTGTACTTTCTACTTCTTACATTCTGAACACAAATACCTGTACTTCCTACTTCTTACATTCTGAACACAAATACCTGTAGTTTCTACTTCTTACATTCTGAACACAAATACCTGTACTTCCTACTTCTTACATTCTGAACACTAATACCTGTACTTTCTACTTCTTACATTTTTAACACAAATACCTGTACTTTCTACTTCTTAACACTAATACCTGTACTTTCTACTTCTTACATTTTCCAAACAGGCTGGTTACTTTAGTTTGAATGTGTGTTTGGTGGCGTGATCATTATTATTTAGAGTTATTGCGTGCCTATTGATTTGAACACGATCCGTGTATCCATCATTTCCTGGGGCCTCATTTATAAAGGGATATACGCTCAAAAGATGGCGTACGCCAGTTTCTACGCAATGTTTGCGATTTATAAAATACTAACTTGACGGGAAAATGTGCTGTCCTCCACGCAAACTCTAACCCATGCGTACGCACTAAGCACACAAACGGGAGAGACGAGAAACTGCGACACCGTTGGCAGAAGGAAGAATGGAGAGAAATATGTGGAAATAATACCATAAATAAAATGTTACCTCTCATTTATCAAATATGAAGAATTCATTTTCAAACATTGATTAAAGCCAATCTTAAAATGATTAAACAAACGCCTGTTTGAGACTCCTCAGTGCACACAAAAACATAACTTGGAGAAATAAATAAATACGGATATGCTATTTAAAACCACCTCGAATATGTTGTGTTAATGTTATGAAATGTTTTCTCATAAATGATGCGGTAAGCAGGAGGACAGAATTACGTCTAAACTGACGCCGTTTTGCATTTCTATAGGTTGTAGATACGAGCATGGTTTTATATACTATCACGTTTAATCGTGTTTTATGCCGTTTGCCAAGACTTGATAAGTCGCTCGTAAAACACAGGAGGTATGGAAACTAAGAACACCATATGTGGTAAATTGTACAGCTAATATAACACAATCCATTAGTTGTATTTCCTTTAACTGGTGGATTATGGATATATAGTTGCTGATCGACAGCTGGAACACAAACCACCAAATACAACAAAAATAATTCAGATCCAGTCGTCATGACTCCACTCCGGAGGGATTCCCCGATCATTTCTTACAGTTTCTCATCAAGGGGGTGTCTCCTGTCCCCGGGACAAACACACTGCCTGAGGAAGGTTATGTGTATTTGTTTTGTCATTAACTTTTTTCGGACCACTTATTTATTTATTTTGGTGACGATCCGACCTCCATGCTGCTACTCTGGTTCAAACTGCATCCACCAAACAATATGATTTATCTCGACCTCCCCACAATAACCAAAATCTGACACGGTGTGAGATGTCTTTTTTAGCTGTTCTATCGTAATTTCCTGCGATCTTCTTCATGCAGTCAGTCAAAATGAATGAATGAATGGGCGTTTCTTTGACTATGTATAGGCAAATATGGGCGTTACGAGTCGATTGTGATTTATAAAGGGACACAGGCGTAGGGAGTGCCGTACGCACTTCCCTCGCCGGTACGCAACGTTTTGTGAATCGGAAAATGGCGGAAAATTTATGTACCTATTTTTGTGCTTTGTACTACGTAAGCAACCTTCCTACGTCAATCCTACGCAAGGCGTTATAAATGAGGCCCCTGGTCTTCTCTAAAGAAGAGGGACCAATGAAAACGTTGCCGTTGTTCAGCATGGAAACATTCATTAGCTAACAATGACATTACATTACATGTTACTTATTAGACGCTTTTATCCAAAGCGACTTACATACTCAATACTGTGGGCAATCCCCACAGGAGCCATTTGGGGTGAAGTGTCTCAGGGACACAACGACATGCTGACTGCAGTGGGGTTTGAACCTGTGACCCCCTGATCCCAACACCTACGTACACACCACTGCACCACACACCTCCTGACATTATTGTTCTATTAATATAAAGGGAGGTCAGGTACTCTTTAAAACAGATGGTAGCTATGGGTACTTTTTACTTAAGTACATTTCAAAGCCCTCTTTACTTTTACTTGAGTAAAGACGTTTAGTCAGTACTTCTACTTTTACCAGAGTATTTTTAAACACAAGTATCTGTACTTCTACTTGAGTAAAGGATGTGTGTACTGCCATCTCTGTCTAAAGGAGACTAAAGAGTATGAATAAATACTAGGGAACAAGTTACAAAAACAGAGGTGTGACAGCATAATATGTATATTTTTTGTATTTGTATTTTTAACTTGGCCACTGTATGAATTCCTGCAGTGTAAGCTTTAATGATTTAAGGAGCAATAATGAAGCTAACGTGCGTCCTGCAGGATGATCAGCACAGACGCAGCCGCCAGAGGCATCGACATCAACGGGGTCAAATGTGTGGTGAACTATGACGCACCGCAGTACATCCGGACATACATCCACAGGTGAGCTGTCCATCAAACTGACCTGTGTGTGTATAACCGCAGGTACTATAAGGAGTACAAAGGATGTTTAGTGAAGAATATCCTCCAGATGTGGCTTATTCTCTCTGTGACTTGGCTTCTTTGTTTCTGTTCAGGATTGGAAGAACAGCCAGAGCAGGGAAAACAGGCCTGGCCTTCACCTTCCTGCTGGGAGTACAGGTACTTTTTAAATGATCATATAAACCTACTTACACTAAATAAAAGGTATTCTGATTGTGATTGTGAAGAGCATAAACAGGATATGAGACAGAGTGCTGTGTTTTCCCCTCAGGAGAAGAACTTCCTGCAGATGGTGGTGGAGGCAGGAACGCCCGGGATTCAGAAGCAGATCGTCAAACCAGAGAGCCTGAAGGGGATGGAGGCGCGCTACGAACAGACGCTGCAGGAGCTGGCCAACGTCATCAAGGTACACTTTCACCTCTGTTTAAGGGGGTCCTGGGCATATCTGGATTATTTTACCAAAATGATAATCAAATTAAGCTAACTCTACTTAAATGAACTCAATTGATGGCTATGAACTAGTTCATTTAAATAGCCCAAACGTGGTATATAGTCTACTTGCCGGCACTGTGAACCTGGAAATGGTACCCCCGTAGAAATATATAGTAGGGGTCCCCAGCACATAGAAACTTCTGGATGCCAACTAGGTTGGGTCTTCGGGGTTCGTAAGGATGCTGAGTCCAATTCTGACATTTTCAGGATCAAAAATGGCAGTTTAAACCAGAAAGAGGCCATGTTTCTACTCCCGTTGGGCGGATTTTTATGAAAAAAAATGTTGTCCATTGTAAGTGTCCTGAAAATGGCAGAAATTGATTAAGCATCCTCAATAATCCCCCAAACCACTCAAAAATGGTCCAAATCGGCCAAGCCATTTTTAGCTATTGTCTACATATGCCAATTAATGCGAATTAAGCAAATGTCGCACCCAGCGACGTTAGCACCCAGCAGTTTCTATGTGCAAGGGACTCGTACTTAGGGTTGCAAAATTCCGGGAATTTTCAAAGATTCAACTCAACATTCCTGTTTTCGTTCTTCAATGAAACAAATAATTGTTCAATAAAATAATTAAAACTTGTAAAAAATATATATTAAAATTAAAAAAAATCTGTTGAAATGTCATGTTTTTTTGTTTAATTTTGCATCGAATATTTCCAAAATTCCCCAGCTTAACTTCCCATGGAAACCCCTTTGCAACCCTACTCGTACTATACATTTCTAACATAAAACGTTGGGGTTCTCAACATTTCCAGGTTCACAATAGGACCCTATGAGCTGGCAAACAAACTGTTACATTTCTGCATTGAAATGACCCACCTATGTTGGAGTTGTGGAGTTACATTATCCCAAATGTTTCATAACATTTTCAAACCAATAGAAATATTGAATTGCAGTCCGGGTAAAGGTGGGATTCCTCTGCCTTCCTGTGATGGAGTTTGTCCCCTTTGACATGGGAACTTATCTGCCAGAAGCTGACACATAATGAGTTTATTTATGCAGTTTGAAGCCACATTTTGACCTCAACCTGATGAAGGATTTTAGTCATCGTTGCTGGATCTCAAGTTATCAGAGGCACAAGCTGAGTTAGCAGTAGTTACCATGTTCCACTTCAGGACAATTAAATGCAGTTTAGTTATTGTCATACACTGACTTACATGCACAAAAACCAAAGCATCGTTTACATTAAAGTGGACCTATCATGCTATATTTAAATGATATATTGTAGGGCCATACCTATATAAGGTATATTTATACGTTTCTGTTTTCAAAATACCAAACAGATCATGCATTTTAGCCATGCCTCATTTCGCTCTATGTGCTGTTTGCTGTCTACGGGTCTGATTCTGCTGACCACGCCCCCCTGCAGGAGAGGGGAGACGTGCTCTGATCAGCTGCTGGGCTGTCAGAAGAGGGGGAGAAAAAGAGATCTCCGTCCTCCGTGTTTTATTATATAGAGTCGTTATTCATTTGTTTTAAAGCTCAATAAATAACAAAGAAGACCTTTGACCGGCACTTTTCAAATTTTGTCCGGAAGATTTAAACTTTAACGGACATCTTGACCGGCGAAAGTAACTGAAACTGAAACTCTGCCGCACGGTCCCCTCGTTCCTTGGAAGAGGCGGAGAGGTGGGTGTTGAGGCAAGCACTGTAATTCTTTCCGGTTAGTCCACCAGCAGATGACAAACACCCACCTCTCCGCCTTTTCCAAGGAACGAGGGGAACAAACGCTTGCCTCGGGGAGGGAGAAAAAAAGCCACAGCGGAGAATAAACAGAAGGGTAACCATGGTAACTATGGGCGGGAAGTCGTCTTCGCTGCTTTTGTGGCAGACTACAGCGCCACTTACAGGCCTGGCATATGTACTACAGCGTCTCCAGCGCTTTCAAGCGGCAATGGCCGGCCGTGGCCCAACCCCACATTCCCCTGATAGGTGGAGAGTTGGCCCAATAGCCGTAGCACCACCGTCCTGACGTCAGTAAAGTGTTCAAATCTGGATCAGTTTTTATCAGATCCGTTGCAGCCCCTTTTTTAGAGATTTGGGTATGGAGGAAAATAGAGAGGGTTGTGTTTTCTGACACTTGGTGAGTTCCCTGGAACACCAGGGACACATATTCATGTATAAAAGACGTACAAAAGTGCATTTTGCATGATAGGTCCCCTTTAAGTTTTGCTATGAAAGGCTACTTTAATTTAAACCTTGTGTTTGTCTCTGCAGGATGAGAAAACCAGATAATGGAGCAGCACTGACGTTCTCCTCTGAGCTCACATCTGTGCCTCAACAGAACACGTTGCATTTTCAGCTGTACTGGGAATATTTATGTTGTTTAATAAAACATTAAATACATTAAACATACCATAACTTTGTGTTGAATCTGGTGATTTCAGCTCTACAGTGCAACCTCCAATGTGAATAACAACCAACACATGTAAAGTAGCTTAGGTCTGTAAAAAGGGTTTCATTGCGTGGTCATTGATTCAGGTGGATAATAGCAGGATTGAACTAATGTGATTTAAAAAAAAAAATCTTTATATTTGCTATCCTTCACATCAGTCAAAATATGCATTGTATGTAACTAAGACTTTCAACAAATGAACCTCCTTTGGACTTCCAGTTGGACATAGATGTATATATTTATCATGCTCATACTTATTCATATCGTTCTGTCAACGGTTTTACATAATCGTACTCTTGTCATTTTAAATGATACTTTTATACTGTGGATATTTCACATTATCCTTAGCCGCGTTCACACCGCAGTACTTTTCCCACTTTAGTTCCGATATAGTTCCGAAATGCCGCGCTCACACCAAAAAGAGCCGGAACTAAAATTAGTTCATCAGAACCTTTTTTACCCCCTTTTCCGTCCCTGCTAGAGAGCAGTTATTTCGTGGGAGAAAAAGGTTCCTATGTCTGATTGGCTGGGCGGAATGCAAACCACGCCCCGTAAAACTCCCAAAAAGTTTTGTGAAGCCGCCATTTTATTATTCTCGCATTAGCATTATTAGCATTAGCCCAGCGCACAAACGCAGAGAGACTATCTTATGGCAACACAAAAGAAAACATGGGAGCGGTGGAGATGAGGAGGTGTCGGCGTTCTGGCGATTTACTCGGAAGGCTTCAGTAGAAGCTGCTGGGAGTCCCAGCAGCTTCTACTGAAGCCAGTCCCCAACTCCGGGGACTTCCGGCCGGGGACTTCGGGTGGCAGTATACGCCGTGAAGTTGTTTGTGGCCTGCCAGTAAACCCAAAGCAGAAGAAGAAGAAGTGACGTCAGCGGCTTCATTTGCCTAATCCTCCCCCAGGAACTTATTCCGGTTCATTCATGAGAACTAAAGAGTTCTCATGAACCTTTGTGGGAAAAGTACTGCGGTGTGAATGCGCCTCTTGTGTGTGCTCCTACTTTCCCTTTCTTTTGTCTCTCATTGCTGTTGATGATCCGACACCTGATCATATCTTCCTGATCTAATCCTATTTTATAAGCAGAGTACTATAATGTCACTCATACATAGTGTGTTGGGGCCAACACTATACACTTCAAAGAACAATAAGAAGTGAATAACAATCTATTTTAATCTTTGCTTTTTACCATAAACAAAACTCAAAATGATATGAGGTGGCATTTTAGTTTGATTGCAATTTTTCATTTTCATTTTCATATAGCAATGTTTTTTAAATGAAATAAAAAATATTCTCTTATTTTATTTGTGTTTTCCTCTCCCCAGTGGAGCTCTTAATTCTTTTTTGTGTAAATAACAAAAACAGCACTTTGACAGAGTTTCAGGTGTAGAAACGTCACATAGCTGACCATGAGCCAAGAACTGAAGTTACCTACTGTAACTCCAGCTTCTATGAGTATTGGCGTAGCCCTCTAAGGCTATCGCTATTGGGTAATCCCCCTGCGCTCCCGCGCAGCACTGAAACACTTGTAGTCCAGGCCCGACAATCTGCTCCCACACAAAACAACTTTTCTTCAGCTATTCGTGGAGCCAGTGGGGCCCAGAACTTAGAGGGCTACGCCAATACTCATAGAAGCTGGAGTTACAGTAGGTAACTTCAGTTCTATTTCGTATATGGCTTCGCCCTCTAAGGCTATCGCTATTGGGTTAAGGGCGAAGCAAGATGTAGTCTGCGCCCCACTGGGTCCCCCCGGTACAAGAAGCACAGACACACCTGCTCAGATAACAACCCATGCCTATTGCGCCATGCGAATGGCGCATCACAGTCCCTGGAATATAGCATAACATGAATATTTACCATGAGGGGACGAAGGCTGGGAATAATACATACCTGCCGCTGTGAGAAAGTAGAGACGAAGGTCACACTTTGCCCAGTGACAGAAAGGAGGGGGAATAGCAGCTCTCTGCGTGCAGACAGGCAGGAGAGCGCACAGCTGGGTCCCCAACATCACTCACTCTGACTAGACATTACGTACGAAATGTGTCAGGGGAAAAAGGGGGACGTCCCTCTCATAAAAGGGAAATACAGGCCACTCTCCGTGTGCCGAGGCAGGAGAGAGGCGCACAGCTGGATCCCTGGCGTCACTCACTCTGACAGGACACTCAGCACAGGGTGTGTCAGAGAGGAATGGGAGACATCCCTCAAATAAAATGGAATAAATGAACAGGGAGAAGAGCAAGATGCTGCAGTGCAAATGTCTTCCACTGACATTCCTCCGTGTAAAGCCGTGGAGGAGGAAACATTCCTCTGGTGGAGTGCGCATTGATGTTCTCCGGGGGATCCACCCCAGCGGAGACATATGTGACACAGCTTCACACAGCCAGTGTGACAGCCGCTGTGCAGACAGAGACTGCCCTATCGAGCGCTCTCTATAATGCACAAACAGGCGCTGAGAACGGAGCAAGGCAGCCGTGCGCACCACATAGCAGGACAGCTGAGATGAGACGTGGCTTCTTCCTCCGACCTGTGAGGAGGGGGAAAGAAGCCAGCCAGGGTGATCACTCTTGACCTAAAAAAGTTTGTGATGACCTTAGCCTTAGGCATGAAGCAGGGTTAGCATAAACGGCTGTCCTCCCTGGCGATTGAGGTAGGCTGCCGTGGCCTGTTGGCTGGGCGAATCAACACATGTTTGATTGTACAGCAACGGGGCGAAGTGCTGGAATACTTCCCAACCCGGAGAACAGCTCCAGCACATTTACCTCTGACGCACGGGGTCGGAGCGTGGGCGAATGAACCACCTCTGGAGACCCCTCCTGTGGGGGAGACCCCGGGGAATCCCCACGTGATCAGCTGACGTCATGCTGAGCAGCTGTATCACGGAGAGGGCTGTCACCACGCTGTGGGATGTGACACGCTGGATAGGGAGCTGTCAGTTCCTCCACTCGCTGCAGCGAGAGCCGCACTCTGTTGCTGAGTTTTATTCCACTCGCAGATAAATGAATGTCTGGGGGGGAAGAGGACAGCTCGAGCGAGCTATGCAGTTTATAAACCAATAGGTTAAAACAGCAGGCTTCTGCAGCGAATGACCCACCTCTGGAGTCTCCTCCTGTGGGGGAGACCCATGGGGATCACCGCGTGACCAGCTGACGCCAATGCCGAGCAGCTGCGTCACGGAGAGGGCTGTGCGGGTTTAGACACGCCGGAGGAGATCTCGCTGCAGTTCCTCCACTCGCTGCCGCAAGAGTCGCGCTCTGCTGGCTGAGTTTAGATAGATAGATAGATAGATCGTACTTTATTGATCCCAAATTGGGAAATTGTTTTTGTTACAGCAGCATAAAAGGCATTTTACAATAAAACAAAATATACAAGAATAGAAATAAAATAAAATAAAATATAAAATAAAATATAAAATATACATGTCAAAATACAAAATAGAAAATATACATACAGATATTATATATATATATATATATATATATATACAAATATACAAATATATATATATTCAAAATATATGGAATTATGGAGTATTAAATATGAAACAGATTATGTGTGAGTAAAATGTACAAGGTGGTTTTATTTCTAGAGAAACTATGGAGCAGAGAGTTCTCTTCCAGCCAGAGGTGATTTGTTGTACAGTGTTATTGCAGTGGGCAGGAATGTTTTCCAGTATCTGTCCTTGTGACAGGGGAGCTGCAGCAGTCTGTTGGAGAAGGAGCTCCGTTGACTGTCCAGCTGCAGGTGGAGAGGATGGGTGGGGTTATCCATGATGGACAACAGCCTGTTCAGTGTCCTCCTCTCCACCACAGCTTCAAAGGGTTCCAGCTTGATGCCGATGACTGACCCAGCTTTCCTGATCAGTTTATTGATCCTGCAGGTGTCACCGGCTCTGATGCTGCCCCCCCAGCAGACCGCAGCAAAGAAGAGTGCACTAGCCACAACAGACTGATAGAAGATCTCCAGCATCTTACTGCATACGTTGAAGGATCTCAGCTTCCTCAGAAAATAGAGTCTGCTCATCCCCTTCTTGTACACAGCGTCAGTGTTGATCCTCCAGTTCAGCCCATTGTCTAAGTGCACTCCCAGGTACTTGTAGACCTCCACAACTGCCACATCCTCTCCCAGAATGCACAGGGGCAGAGGAGGAGATGTCCTCTTCCTCCTGAAATCAATGACCATCTCTCTGGTCTTGGCCACATTCAAAAGCAGATGATTTCTTCCAGTCCACTCAACAAAATCACCCACCAGCGCTCTGTACTCCTCCTCCCGTCCATCCCTTATACACCCTACCACTGCAGAGTCATCCGAAAACTTCTGCAGGTGGCATGACTCTGAGTTGTATAGAAAGTCAGAGGTGTATAAGGTGAACAGGAAAGGAGACAGCACAGTCCCCTGTGGGGCTCCAATACTACCAACCACCACATCAGACAGCACACTGCCCAGCCGGACGTACTGTGGTCTGTCCGTGAGGTAGTTGGTAATCCAGGAGATGGTGGACGAGTTTACCCTCATAGCCTGCAGCTTGTCACTCAGTAGCCGAGGCTGGATCGTGTTGAATGCACTGGAGAAATCAAAAAAGGTGATTCTCACAGTGCAACCCGATCCATTCAGGTATGAGTGAGCACGCTGCAGCAGGTAAATAATGGCATCGTCCACCCCCAGGTGAGGCTGGTAGGCAAATTGCAGAGGGTCAAGGAATGATCTCACCTGCGGTCTGAGATGGGCCAAGACCAGTCTCTCAAGCACCTTCATCACATGAGATGTGAGTGCTACAGGGCGATAGTCATTGAGCCCAGAAGGAGTTGTCTTTTTAGGGACCGGAACAACGCATGATGTCTTCCACAGCACCGGGATGGTCTCCAAGTGCAGGCTCAGGTTGAATATATACTGGAGAACAGGAGCCAGCTGGCGTGCACAGGTCCTCAGGACCCTGGGGCTGATACCATCAGGGCCAGCAG